CTGAAGCTCCCGGGTCACAACCAAGCTGGAGGAGCAGAGTGGGGAAGTGGTGACAAGTAAATTTAGTTTTAAATTCTGAAGTTCAGAAAGGTTAAATAATTACCCAGGGTCACACAGTGAGTAAGTGAACGAACTGATATTTGAAACCTGGTCTGGCCACCTCTAAAAAATACGTGTGTGACCACACTACCTCCCCGTTTTCCCATATTTAGGGACACATTCATGTGTGACCTGTTCCCATCCTCTGTAGACATTTCTAACAACACAATGCTGGTTTTGTCACAAGTCAACAACCACACTCCATTTCTCAAATTCCAGAGTGGCTTTTTGTGGCTTAGTGCTGAATTATTTGAGCTAGAGGGTTGGCCTGAACGCCATCACTCACTCTGTTCATTCCTAGTGAGCTTCTGTACATGAAAAGTAGTTGAGGAGGGTGACCTCACACACTTATCACTACCTACTGAAGGGAGATCATGCTCTGCAAGCATTTCCATCTCAGAAACACCAATGTTGCTGACCTAGTTCATGCAAAATCATTTCTTTCACCTTCCCTACTCATTTGGGAAAACTATTAACACCCAGGAAAACACTGTCAACTGAGTTCAAAGGTCAACATTCTGAGGTTGAGTCTAATAAACAAATCACAGGCTTTCTCTGGCTGCTTTCTTCCTCTGTTAGAAAATAATCACAGGACTTAACCCATATGATTGATACCAAGATCAAATGAGATTGTGGATGTGAACCAAACTGTTCACACACACACACACACACACACACACACACAAATCACCAACACCATCCTTGAGGAGTCACCTGCACAGTGGGCTGGTAGTTATGCAGTGAAACATGGTACTGAGGCTGAGTCTAAAGGGTTAAATTGCTTTCAGACCCGAAGAGCACATAAGAAAAGGCACCCATCTCCACTTTTCCTGAGGCCTGCTTTCAGTGGCACAGCAAGTGTGGAGATTAACAGCAACCCCAAGCTGAGCTCTAGAGCAGCTGGGAGCTCAGAACCCAGAAGAGGGGTGCCCAAACAACGACTCCAAACACCAGTGATCTGAGGAGAGTCTCTGCTTTCTTCCTGCATGAGGTGCCCCATGACTGGCCAAAGAGCCTCATGGGTTCACATCTCTCTGCCCCTGACCTGCTTCCAGCCAATAAAATTGAACTCCCTTGTTCTCAAGCCCGCTGCCCAAGCATACACAACTTCTCTTCTTTTCTTAATGTGAGCAATGGCGTCCTGGATAGGAATCTGGCCGCCTCTATAAGGCACTAGTCTCTGGATAAACCTTCTTTCTCCCAACTCGAGCACCATGTCTCACGTCTGACTCATGAGTGATGGGCAGCCGGATTTGAGTTCAACATCATCGCCTCTGAGACTCAGTCCCAACTAGCTCGTAAAAGATAAGCATCCTGATACAGAGCGGATGATCTTAATTTCCCAATCTTGCCAACCTTGTTTTGTCTCTGACATCTGCTGCTGCTGCCTTTGCTAGAGATCAACCTTTTTCTGAGACTTCGAAGTATGGGTCAAACGGCATGTAACCAGTCCCCCAGGGAAGACCACAGTGGTGATGATCTCAGAATGTCACAGTTGTCTTCATAAATTATCATTATTAGGGCAGCCAAAAAGAGTGTTTACCCTGGGATGACATAGTAGTTAAGAGCCAGGGTTCGGAACTGGGACTGTGGGTGCAAATCCTGACCCCGCCCTTGACTAGCTCCACATTTTCAAGTTTCTGACCTCATCTATGAAATGTTTCTGACCTCATCTATGAAATGGACAGAATAACAGTAACTACCTCTTATTACATCATATTTTAAGCTACTTAATTTGTGTGAACATTAAGCACAATGAGCAGGACACATAAAACATTCCACACATGTCAGTTACAAATATAAAGCCGATCCAGATTCAGAAACACAAAATTGGGGAAACGGAAAGCAGGCAGAGATCCAGTAACCTTACAGGGTGTCTGTCAACCACTTCCCCAACATCCTCCCCAAAGGAGGTGCAACAGGGGAAACCTCTAGCAAGGTGGCCTGGCAGAGGCAAGTAGAAAGTACCTTCACGTGACGAGTGAATTAACTGGAGCATTCCTCCTTTGCTAAGGATACTAACTAAGCCTTTGAAGACAAAAAGAAAAAGAAAACCTTAGGGAAGCGGTTTGGCCAAATATATTCTGGGCAAAAACAAACTTTTCCGTTGCTTGTCTCAATCATGACATCTCTTGGAACTCAAGTGGAGGAAATAAGCAAGAAAGAAGGAAAGAATATGCATAAGGTCTTCATTGTAGTGTTAGGGGGAAAAGGGTGTCCTAAAGCTAATCCCATACAGGCTTTGTGGACGCCACCCCCACCCCAGGCCAAAGCCAAAGACATGGGGAACTCCACATCCTATCCCCACCCAAGGGAAGGTGGCTGGGACCTGAGGGTGGGGTTAAGCAGCCAGGTTGGTATAAAGGCAGACACGTGGGCTTTGGGGGGGGGGTCCCCCATTTTGGCTCTCCGCCAGCTCGCAGCTTCCGGCCAGCTCAGAGAGTGACTTTGGGTTTCCAGGTCGTCGGATCGGGTAGGACGCATTAAAGACTTTATTTCCCTATTTTCTCCCTGAGTTGTACATTTTCCTTATTTCCTTTTCCCTTGTAAATAAACCTTTCATTAACATTTTCTGTGTGCCTGTAGTGGAGTATTCATAAGTCCCTTGTAAGCGCTTGGGTGAGGACCCACAGCCAGGCAGCCCGTTCAATATCGGGGCTGCCCTATAACAGTACCATTATTTTTCAAAAGTTTTATAAGGTTCTAAATCGCCCTTCTATTTACAATCCAATGTTTTTTAAAGGACATTCACAGAGTTGTGCAAACACCTTTACACAACTTTAAAACATTTTCATCACCTCAAAAAGAAATCATTAGCAGTAACTCCCTAATACGCTCTCCTCTAGCAACCGCTTGATGACCAGAAAATGCATTGAATAATATAAACTCCACATTATTGAGTAATATAACATAAAGGTATGTTAATCAAATTACGGTATAGCCATTCAATAAAATACTACGTGGCTGTTAGAAATTATGACAATGAAAGTTGTGGCAAGCAGTAAAGAACACATGACATAACTTCACAATTTCTTAAGTGATACAAAATGGTGACTATGTTCTGATCTCAACCAGAGTATATTCTGGGTTTGTGTGGACAAACTGGAAAATGTGTAGGTTAGGATGTGACTGTGATGATTTTCCTTCAGCTTTTAAATCTTTGTAACAGTTTATATTGTTTAACAAATGGAAATTTTAGCAAATCTACTTAAAGTGATTAAAATACGGAATATATTAAAGAGCGCAGCCAGTGGTCCAGCCTCTCTGTCTAGACCCAGTTCTGATCTCTACAAGCTGGTGTCTTCCTCTGACTTCCAAGTGTCTTGAGCTACCGGTCCCCCCGACCCCCCACCCCGACTGCTGCCCCTTGACACAGTGGGCAGTCTCTCACCTGACATCTCCCTCCTGCACTGGCTCCAGACAAAGCCCTCTTATTCAGCGTAACCGCCCACCATCTTGGCCCATTTCCTTCCATGCATAAGTCAAATGTGCTTAGGATTCCTTCAGATCCCAGCTGGACTTTCCCCAGAGGAGCTGAATAGTAAGGAAAGGGTGGAAACAAAGTAACAGCCAGTTCTGCTCCCTCCACCATCCCCATGTCCCAGAGCATCATCAGGCCATTCCTCCACATCACACACAGACCCCTCCAGACACACTTGCCTCCTCCCTCTCTCTCTCTCACACACACGCCCCATATAGATCCTCTGCCCAAGCAGCCTTAGCTCTGCCCCATGACTGTGCCAGGGATCTGAACGGTGCCCCACTCTCTGCTACTCCCTGGGCTTGCTCACTGGTATTGTTAGGGGAAAAAGGCTGTCCCAAAGCTAATTCCATACAGGCTTTGTGGACTCCACCCCCACCCCAGTGTTAGGGGGAAAAGGCGGCCCCAAAGCAAATCCCATACAGGCTTTGTGGACTCCACCCCCACCCCAGGCCAAAGCCAAAGACACTGGGAACTCCCAATCCCATCACCACCCAAGGGAAGGTGGCTGGGACCTGAGGGTGGGGTTCAGCAGCCAGGTGGATATAAAAGGCAGACATGTGGGCTTTGGAGGGTCCCCCATTTTTGGCTCTCGGCCAGCTCGCAGCGTCCGGCCAGCTCTGAGAGTGACTTTGGGTTTCCAGGTCGTCGGATCGGGTAGGACGCATTAAAGACTTTATTTCCCTATTTTCTCCCTGAGTTGTACATTTTCCTTATTTCTTTTTCTCTTGTAAATAAACCTTTTATTAACCCTTTTGCGTGTGTCTGTAGTAGAGTATTCATAAGTCCCTTTAAAGCGCGCGGGTGAGGACCCACAGCCAGGAACCCGTTTAATATCGGGGTTGCTCTATAACAGTATCACCAAAGGAACAGAGCTGAGCCTTGCCTGCCCAACTCTGTCTCCCGGACAAAGGACAACTCTCGTCACTCAGCACTCCCAGCACCTGCCTCACCTTCTGACCCACCCACTGAGGCTGGCCTAGCACTGCCAGTGTGGGGGGAGACCAGCAAAGGGGGACCTCCTGATAAAAGCATTCCACTGGGTTTAGTGAGCACCCATGGGGTCAGGGACCTTGCAAGAGATGACTGAAACCATCACCTGCCTTGAGCTCACAATGGAAGGAAGGTAGGCAAATGGAAAATTATCATATTAAGCCAGTTGATGGAAATGGGGAGTTGGCAGTGGAAGCCTGGCCGCCATGCCACACCTGGAGGGGCACACGCAGGGTGCAAGGCACTGTGTGCTACAGAGACAGGCCCTGGTCTCTGATCCCAGGCCCAAAACATGTCCCCCAAGGCTATGGCAAACAGCTGGAAACACTGCGCACACAGTGAAGGAGGAAGGAAAGGGGATTTCACGCTGATCCCAAGTACCAAGACGAGTGTCCCCTCCCCCCCGCCGAGCTCTGTGATTAAGGCACTCAGGCTAGGAGGTGGGTGGAGTGAGTAAAACCCAGAAAAATCAAGAATTCAAGGTGGGGCAGTAGGCAGGAGGTCAGCCTTGAGGAAAGGGAGGAGGGAGCCTGGGCTGGGACAAGGGACCGGGCAGAAGGGAGGGAGGGGCCTGCGGGCTCCAGCTCCTCCCTCCTCCGGTTCCCCAACAACCCTTAGGCGGAGCCAGGTTCGGACAGGTGAGGGAGGAACTCCTAAGACCGGAGCCCGGGAGAGCGCTGGGATTGGGGTTGGGTGTAAGGAGAGGTTTGGGCCTTCGCAGTCTCCCACTCCTTGCTGCAGCGCTCAGGGAACACCCGACAGCTGGTTTGGGGGTGTGGGCTGCGAGTCACTGTGTTGCAGAGGAAAGAAAAGGCTTCTCTTCACCAGCCTCCCAGCCACTGTGGTAACCCCAGCAGGAAACTTGAAATGTAAGTTTACTGGGTTAGAGCCAGTAGAGGGGGTGGGGAAACCCTCATAGGTATGGGGTGCAGGTATGGGGTGTCTGGGCAGCTGTGTCCAGGCCTCTGTTGTGTACATGAACGCTTGCTCCCTCCAATAGGGGCATGGGCTGACTGCAGAAAATGGCAAGATGACGTCAGGGGGTGTTCTCTCCCCAACTGGGTCAGACCGAGGTCCTAGTGGGGAGGGGGGGGAAGGGGTAGAGGTCCAGTTCCAGCAGTAATGGAGAAAGGGCAGGGCCTGCCCCATCACCTGGATTCCAGAGAGGCCATGAGCATAGAGGCCCCAGTCACGGCCCTCCCAGGACTGGCTCCTGGGTGGTGGGGAAAGATAAAGCAGGAGAGGCTGCCTCAGGAAGGAAGAAGGAAGGGCGGCAGGCGTGCTGGGTGTCAGAACTCCTGGGCTGACTTCCTGCTCACCCTGGGTCAGTGGTGATCCAGGACAGAATGACAGACCTGGAGGGGACCCCCCCCCCCGATCATTTTTTGGACCATTTATTTGATTTGCAACTGAGAAACCTGAAACCCAACCAAGGGGTCTGACACTCCACCGCGCGCGACGCCCACTGCTGGCTCAGACACAGCCACTGTGTGTCTCTTTGCAGGTGCCTGGGGCGGGGCCATGGTGCCCAGCCAGTGGTGGGGGAGACTGCAGAAGCCGCTTCTCTACCTGTGCTGCACCTCCTTCCTCCTGGGGCTGGCTTTGCTGGGCATACGGCCGGACCTCGCCCCTGTTGCTTATTTCTTTCTCGCCTTGGGTGGCTTCTTCATGTTTGCCTGCCTCCTGGTCTGTTTTCTGGAGTGGGGCTTCCGATCCAGGCAGACCGAGAGCCCGGGGGCCTCAGACGGTGCACGGTGAGTTAAGGGGCGGGCAGCATTCTGGAACCCCTTCTCCCTGTATTCCTCCCTGTGGACACCGCAACAGTGTCCACATTCCTGTGTCCCTGGTGTCACTGAGAGGTGGGATCGCGGGCTCCGTAGCTGGGTCATTTTGCCAGCTGAAGACAGGAAGGGGGCAAAAGGCTCTTTCAGGCACCCACCAATGACTTCATTTCTTCTCCCTCAGGGACAATGAAGTCTTTGAGGTGCCAACCTATGAAGAGGCCGTGGTGCTGGAATCACAGTGCCACCCCCAAGAATCGGATCAACCACCCCCCTACTGCAGTGTTGTCATCCCCCCAGGACTAGAGGAGGCACAGCCTAGCCACCCAGAGGGGCCGAGGAGAGCCAGACTGAAAAGGCGAGTGGTCTCAGAGGGGTCCATGGCTGTGGGCGGGAGCCCTGGAAGAACCCCAATTAGCCTTCGGCTGCGGGGATTGCGAGTCATGTCCACTGCTTCTGATATGCACAGCTTGGGTGTGCTCCCCAAGTTGGAGCCTCTGACTCCACCTCCCGCCTATGATGTCAGCTTTGGTCAGCCTGATGATGACAATGTTTTCTATGAAAATAACTGGACGCCCCCATAAGCGACTTTCCCAGGACACGCCATCTCTCTGCACCAGACCCACCATCCATTTGGCCAACACTCCCCAGTGCCTGCTGCGTGTCTGGAAGCTTCCACCTGGACATCCCCCATGGGGACTGGAACCCAGAGGGGCACCAGGTGATGGCCAGCCCTTCCCTGTTGAGTCGGGGTGGCCCACTCCGGGTCTTCAGGGAGCTTTCAGTGACCTACCCAGAGCCGACAGTTCCAGACTCAGATGAAAAGGTGCAGTGAGAAGGTCCAGGGAACCTGGAGAAGAAAAGCAGCAGCTGAGGGACAGCTGAGTCGCTGCTGCTGCGGGGACTGTCTCCAGCCCGTCCCCTGGTGTCCCGGCCTGCGAGGACCGTTACCCCCATTTGAAAAGCAAACGTCCCCGGGTTCAGGAAGACGCAACGCTTTGCACAGGGACCCGCTGCTAGTAAAGGAGCATAAAATGACTCGAGGGTCCCAGTGCCAGAGCCCCGTGTGCTCCCAGCACGAGGGGAGGGCAGCCGAGCCCGCACGCGTCTGGGGTGACCGCTGCGCGGGGTGGGGATCCCACGCGGGCAGAGTGGGGGGCCAGTGCAGTGGGGGGCGGCTGCAGACAGGGCGCGCTGAGAGCGGCCTGGAGAGCGCCCGGACCCCCCAAAGCCACCGAGGCTGTGAGCCCCGCCACGCGGGCAGCTGGGTCCGTCCTCCTGGGAGGGGGCGGCCAGAGGGGCGGGGGGGGGGCCACAGGCGAGCTGTCCGGCGAGGGCCGTCTCTGGGTCCCTCTGGGATCGCGTATGGGGGCGCGCCGTCTCCACGCCTTCAGCCTCACCCCGCGGCCCAGCGCCCCCCCCGCCTCGGACCCCGAGGGGACCCCAGCTTCTCCGGGGCGACCGGCCGCGCCCGTGAAGGTTTCAGTCACGCGGAGCTGCGCGGCCGTCGCCAACCGGCCCCCTCAGGGAGCGCCCCTCACCCGCGGCGCGAGCGCCCGCCTGGCGCCCCCTGGCGCCCGCCTTCCGCCCTTACCGGGCCCGGCCTCGGCCTGAATAAAGCGCGGAGTCCGGCCACGCCCGCGTCCGCGACGTTCCTGCGATAGGCTGAGGGGCGGGGAGGGCGGCGCGGGGGCGGGGACCGTGATTTCCGCGGGAAGCGCCGACCAATCACATCCCTGGGTGGGCGGGGCGGCCCTGCGCTCCGCCCCGCCCCTTCCCGTTCCGTCCGGCGCGCGCTCTCATCCCATTGGACGGCGCTTCGGCCTCGAGGGCTCTGCGCCTGCGCCGGCCCGGCGTCGCGTCCGGGTGGCGGCCGCGGCGGGGGCGCGCAGGCGCGTCGCGCGCGGCGGGCGGGGGAGGGATGCGGGGTCCGCCCGGTCTTGGGGTTTCTTGGGATTGTGGGCGGTGCGCGCTCAGCCCGGGAAAGCGGGAAATGGCGGCGCCGAGCGCCCGCTCCCGGCCCGTCCTCCGGCCCAAGGGGCTAATGGCGGCTGACAGGGGGCGCAGGTGAGTGCGAGAGGGTCGGGGGGGGCAGCGCGCCCTGGGTCCCCCGGAGCCCCGCGGGCTGGCCGGGCCGCGCGCCCCGCCGGGGGGGCCTCAGCCCCTTGGGGCTCGCGGGCTGCGGCGTCACCGCGGCCGCGCCCCGCGTGATCGGGGGTCGCCCGGCCTCCCCTCGCCCAGCCCGGGGGGCTCGGCAGCGGGGTTCCCGGGCCGGACCTCTTCCGCCGAGTCCCGGCTTCCCTTCGAGGGCACCCCGGCCCCCCGGGAGGGACGGGGCTCCGGCCCCTGGAGAATCCAGGAGACCTGCAGACTCGGGGCTTTGCGCGATGCGCGTTGGGCGATGAGCGAAGCCAGCGCGCCCCGCACCCCGGGGGCTTCCAGGGCTCCCACCGCAGGCCCCGGGCCTGAATACCTCGAGAGGGCGAGGAGGCCCCCGGGGCGCCCAGGGAGCCGGCCTCGTCCCCCGGCCCCCATGTCCTGGCAGGCATCGCCCCAGGTAACAGGTTCATGATCCTGGCCAGACCCGCAGGTTAGTGCAGCCCCCGCGGGGCACAGACTCGCGACCCAACCCCCCGGTGCCCTTCCTGCCACCACCTGTGCGAGTCTGGGTGATGGGGAATACGGGAGGGAGCAGGTGTGTGGAGAACGGATGATGCTTCAGATGAAACCCAAGTTCTTGGCTGAAAATTCAAACCCGGAGCTTGAAAGGGCGAAGAACCGGGTGTCCAGTGAATTCTGAGTGTGGCTGGGCTTGAATGGGGAGAGGCCCTTTGGGGGCACACCCCGGGAGATCTGAATGGAATATTTAAGGGCAGACCAAAGGCTTATTCTTGGGAAACCAAGGGAGGAGAAAACTTTGAAGAGGAAATGCTACCGGTGCTCTTTCCTCCCCTGCTGTGCGCCTCCCATTTGCCGGCTGGTTTTGTCTTTTTTTTGTTTCTGGCCCCTTGTTTGGTTGCCCTGTATTCCTATCCCCACCCCCCACACAACCTCCCTCCTGGGTGACTGGGTGGTGGAAATTTTATGGAGCTTACACCTGAGAGGAGAAATCAAACATTGTGCAAAAATGAACAATGACGTAAAAATATATGTATAGGTATATATGAGTATATTTTTAAAAAAGAAAATGCTATTGGTAAAGTAAGGTAGAAACCTGGGTGACCCTAAAGAAATGTTCTTGAAATGTATCCTAAAGAAATGTTCTTCTTTGTGGGTGTCCCCCCAGCCCCCAGCTGGTGTTTTAAATTAATGATAGGAAAATTATGAGCTGCAGAATGAGATGGCACAAGCCACCCACCCAAGAGGTGAGAGAGGAGTCGCATCTGACAGCACCCTCAGCCTCTAGCTCCCATTTTGGGGAACTGACCTCTCCCCTCCCAGCTCCCCACTTTTACTTGAGGACAGAGTTTCTTTCAGTACACTCACAAAGGAAGTAACCCACATGCACACACACCCCCCAGGTGGGCTCTTACAACTTAGTTTATAAGATCGCGAAGCTGTTAATTTAAAGGGTGCTTTGCTTCTGAATGCCCTACCTCTGGGTGTGAGCGGGACTGTCATAGTATAAAATGCCTGCACAGCAGTTCAGGAGCTTTTTTCTCATTACAAGCTTCCAGCTGTGTATGACGTTATTTTTGTGATTAGCCTTGTAGCACCTATTTTTACCAGAGTTCATGTGTGTCATCCGTGTTACTGCTTTGGTGTGTTCTCAGTTGATTCTTATGCAGGGTTTTTGATTTCTCTAGATATTTCTGTGGCTGCATTTATTGGTTTGGGATAAGAGGACTATTATAATAAAACTGAAGGAAGAAGTTAAAATGAAGTTTTGAACCTCACTGTCCCAAACCCCAAATTTAACCAAAGTTGGCTGCTTTCCACTCTGGGACTGTCTTCCCTGACTGCTTCTCTGCTTTGGGATCCCACGTGCTTCTTTCATGGATCTCTCTGAGCGCTTCCAATACTCTGCCTTGCCTTCTTCTATAAATCTCTCGCCTAGAGTCAAGCCCAGTGCGTCGTATAAATACATGATATTTCACCGATTCTAAGATGAGAATTTCCATCTTCCCCACTTAAGCATCTTTGAAATCAGGATGCTTTTCATCTAGATTTTTTTTTTTTTTTAAGATTTCTCCATTTATTCAAGCACTGGGCACAGTCAGAAGCGTGGGAGGGTGAGAGAATTCACCAGAGCCAGAGCGGAGAGCAGAACAGGCAGACTGATGAAATACACTGCTGAGGGAAGCAGCGGGCGTGGCAGGAGAGTTCTGTGGTGCCATGTGGGACCCTCCCCAGGGGCTGGGGATCAAACCAGCACTGCAGAGGCCCTGGGCAGCTTTGCAGCCCAGCGCTCAACTGTCGCGCCACTAGGGGAGGCCCTCGACTAGATTTTTAAGTTATAAACTGAAAATGTTACCATATCCCTTTCTCTCTGCCATCATGCCCTAACTGTTATGTATTTGGAAACTAAGTGGGCTGGCGAGTTCTAGATTTAGAGCTAGGCACATAAATGAAATACATGAAATGGAATTCATTTAGTTCATAAACAAAGGCTGATTTCTTTCCAAGCCCATAGTAGAAAACTTAGGAATCCCTGAGTAGAGACATCCCTGGTAAACAAAATTACCAGAGTAATTTAACTCTTTGAGTGATTTCCAGTTGATTGTTTATCTTCTACCTATTTACTGTGATTTCCTGTCATTTTCTACTTTGCTCTTATAAGATCCTTATCATTTCTAGTGTCACTTTGTCACAGGAACTAAAAAAAATCAGTTATGATTGGTATGAAGTGTGTAACTGGCTCATTTATTTTACTGTAAGATGATTTGAGTTTTTACCATTTTAAGGCATGTGAAATTTTTCTGGAGTGATCATTGCATTTGAGCCAGTAGAGGAGTAATCCCTCATGAATATAAAGTGCTGATATATATATATATATAATTATATATATATATATATATATAATTTTTTTTTTTTTGGTCAAGATAGATAATTCCCCTAGGCAGATCATTATATAAAAATGATTTTAGTTCAGCATTCTCCAGAAAGAATTACGCAGCATTTCCCTGTGTTCAGTGGTCTTAATAATTAATACTTCCTTGTTTTTAACCAGATTCAGTTAATCTTGGTTATAGTAAGTCGTATTCTTTTTGTTCTTCCAACCCACCCTTTTCCACCCCAGTCTTTTGTGCCAAACCTTGAATTTGACAGTCCTCCGCCTTTATCCGCAGGGTGCAGGCAGTGTGTGGCATGCATCCTGACCACCAGGAGGCTCTGAGGAAGAACCGTGTGGTGCTGGCCAAACAGCTGCTGCTCAGCGAGCTCCTGGAGCACCTGCTGGAGAAGGACATCATCACCTTGGAAATGAGGGAGCTAATTCAGGTATTTGGAGGCTAAAGAGGAAAGCTAAGAAAACAAACTGGCTGTAGGCATAGGAATAGAGCATGGAAAAGGGTAGAAGCCATGTAGAGCTACAGAAGGGATGTAGCACTTCCTAAGCAAGTGAAAGTACCCTTCGGAGCACTTAATAGAAATACACAGCATTCAGCGGTATCAGGAAGGACTTCACTCTGTGGGTGTTTTTCCTGTCAAAGAAATTCTTGAGACAGATGATGAGTTGCCGCGGAGGTCTTCTGGAGACGTAGAATAATAGCGCTGGAGAGGGAAAAGGACTTCATGTTTTATTCTTGCATCTCAGGCCAAAGTGGGCAGTTTCAGCCAGAATGTGGAGCTCCTCAACTTGCTGCCCAAGAGGGGTCCCCAGGCTTTTGAGGCCTTCTGTGCGGCTCTGAGGGAGACTAAGCAGAGTCACCTGGAAGATCTGTTGCTCACCACCCTCGGGGGTCTTCAGCACGTGTTGCCTCCAGTCTGGAGCCCGAGAAATGTATGTTGCGCAGGGTGCTTTTGCAGGAAGGGGCCTTTTGCACCAGGGTGGGGGAGACTACATTTTTCTGTTTGTTCGGACTGCACTTCTCCCTCAGCCTGGCACAGCAGGTCCTGATTTCTTACAGTTGAGCTGCGACTACGATCTGAGCCCTCCCTTCCCGGTGTGTGAGTCCTGTTCGCCTCACAAGCAGCTCCGCCTGTCCGCAGGTGAGGCCCACGGGAGTGGCGGGCCCGGCGTGGCTCTCTCCTCCACCGCTGGCTGCCTGCGCCACGCTCACTCTCGTGGGTTTTGAGAACCCTTTCCTCTGAATTTGTTGGGCCAGCATGAGAGTTTGGCTGGGGGATTCATTGATCCTATTTTCCTTCTATCACAAATGGTATTTTTTATGGTGATTGGCTCTTGGAGCAACTTCTGTGGGTAGGGAAGGGAGTCCCTGTGGTCGGCCTGTTCCTCTATAAAAGTGGACTCTTTTAGATGAGAAAAATGGCCCTTTGGGGCCTGATGACTGAGTAGCCTGGTGCCTGGAGCCAGGCTGGTGCCTGATACCCCATTCAGCCATTCGATAGACCCTGGCCAAGGGCAGAGGGTGCGGTGGGGAGCAGAGGCAGACCTTCAAATCGGGAGTGAGATATCAAAATCCTAGTCAGAGGGGTGCCTACAGTTAGATTGTGGTTCTCAGATTGATGCGTAGGTCTTTTCGGCGCTCTGTGCCACAGATACCGTGGAACACTCTCTGGACAATGGAGATGGTCCCCCCTGCCTTCACGTGAAGCCTTGCACTCCTGAGTTTTATCAGACACACTACCAGCTGGTGAGTTGCAGAATTGTGTCCTTTAAATGCCATTTAGTTTGCCCCCACATTTCCTTCCTGTTTTGCTTTCTGTGGGCATGTCTGTTTTGACCTGGTGGGGTTACGAAGATGACGATGTCTTTGTCTCCCTGGGACGTCTCATGTAGTGGGAGAGATGGAGTCCTTGTCCTCCAGAAGCTCACGGTCTTCTTGGCCTCCCCTCCCCAGGCCTATCGGTTGCAGTCCCGGCCTCGTGGCCTCGCCCTGGTGCTGAGCAATGTGCACTTCACTGGAGAAAAAGACCTGGAATTTCGCTCTGGAGGAGATGTGGACCACAGCATGCTCGTCACCCTCTTCAAGCTCTTGGGCTACTCTGTCCATGTTCTACTTGACCAGACTGCACAGGTACACGAGGCAGGGATCGCTGGTGTAGCCAGCAGAGAGTGGGCAACGCTGGGCCAGGACGTCTGCTGCTCTGCCCACTGGGCTATTTTCCCTCCTTACCTTTTATTTGCTCCCTCTGCCTCTCACCTTGTGGTGAAGTATAGAAGAGTTGGGGCATCCGCTGCTTAGCTGTTGGCCTCTGCGGCCGTGCGCTCCCTGAGCCGTGATATAGTCTAGGGTTGGCTTCGCCCTTCTACAGGTTCAGAAACTTGACTCCTAAATACTCAGGAAGTGAGTGATGAGATTTACCCAGCCAACTGAGAAGAGATATTTATAGTCAATACTACACAGGACATTTCCTTCTTGGATACTGTTACTTAGGAGTCTGGTGTTTTTCTAAAGATCACTGTGACAGATCATATTCTTACAAATGGAAGTTTGTTAAGAATTGTCCTGGTAAATGCCATTTTGTAGCAGTTTAATGAATTAATGTGCAGGGAGATTCCTTACCGTTGTCAGTTATGTGGTCCCAAGACAGATGTTAGGCTTTTTTACTTTCTGGACCTGATTCCTGTGCCTCGTGAGCATGTCCATGATGGGTAATATTCCCTGTGAACCTAAAATTCCTGAGTTGCACGACTCACTTGGTTACCGCTAGGTATTTCTGTTTTGAAATCTGTAATTGCCTGTTGTAAAATTGATACTAAATCTGTATTTTGATTCCAGAATAATAGTACTTCTCAAACTTGCCTTTGGAAATGTCAGTGGTAAAATTAAAATTTGGGGGAGAGTCACATTGATCTGTCCAGGTGGGGAATCTTTGTTTCGTCTTCATTGCTGTCTGCGGCCTGTTTCTCAGCTGTCCTGCGTCAGTGAGAACAGTTTCTGGGAAGTTCTCATCGCTCAGCACCTGGGTGCTGTCATTTTCCTGCATGTTTGCCGGCTTCCTGATCAGCCCCTGCAGAGAGGTAGCCCGCCTTTGCTTCAGAACTATACAGCTTCTATTCATCAGATGTTCAGGTCGGTTGTATGCTTTCCGCTGAGGTCTGCTGGACATGAAGGGGGCGAGGAGGGGACAGTAGTCATGTTTCCTGCAGAGAGAGTCCTGTTAGAAAGTCACTGACAAGATGAATGTATTTCTATTTCTATACAGGTTTGGTCTTGTCATTCCTTTTACTAGGGATTTGTTATCTCATGGTTTTCCAAATTGCGTGTAGTTGATAAGGATCATCCATGCTGGACAGTTGAAGATACAGCCCAGCATCGCCAAGTCAGCTCTACACCCTTGTGTTTTCAGAGACATTAAGTAGATTTGACAGGCCCATGAGCCCACTTCATAGACACATAGCTAGTTATGCTGAGACTGATCGACATTCGAGGGCTTTTATTGTTTAATTCTCTGGTAACACTGCTCTGCACCTGGAATTGTAGAGGTAAAGTTTAAGCACATAGCGGGGAGAGGGAGGTACTGGGTTAACCTCCAGAGATTTTAACAATGTGGACTGTGATTTCAAGGACCTCAGTTAGCTGAGTCCTGACATCAGCAAAAGAGAAAGCACGTACCCTATATTCCTGAGGACCAAGCAGGGTTAGAGACCGTGTCCTCTACGGCAGCAAAGAATTGCCTCAGGTCAGGAGCCTTAGTAAAGGACGAGAGATTTGAGCTGACCTGGAAGGGCAGAGGCTACTAAAGCGAGGCACTGGTGCAGGACCCTTCGCAGGTGGGACGGTGGGTAGACAAGAAATGTGTGTGTGTTAGGGACATAGTGGGTAAAGGAGTACCAAGAAGATGGGAAATGAAGGGCCAGGATGCACAGGGCCTTGAATGTCTGTCTCCCCCACTTTCTTGTCTTGCTATTAGACCACCTTAGTAATTTGTGAACAGAAGGGTGATGCATTCACGGTGATGGTTAAGAGAGGTATCCTGTACCCTGGTTCTTATATAAATAAAATCTTAAAAAAAAAAAAAAAAAAGAGGCTAATCCAATACCACTGTCAGGAATGAAGTAGAAACCTATAGCCAAGAATCCAGTTTGGAGTTAGTACAATGCCAATAAAAGATGGTAAGGGCCTGACCAGCCTAGCAGGCCAAAAGGGAGAGGGTTTATGGGCATAATAGTTAAGGGTGTGGCGCTCTGCCAGGGCTTGGTAGTTACAGGGCTACAGAAGGAGCAGGATGGAGAGATTTAAGGTGAGGAATTGAGGGCCTCAGGGTGTCAAGACCAAAGATGTGAACTTGGGGATTATATTACCTGTGAAAGGAAAATAAGTAATCAGAGGGTATGAAATTTCTGAGAAAAAGGCTAGAATAACAAAAGCAAAAGGCTTAGGACTGAACCTTGGGCTATAGCTCTCCTTGGTGAGATATCTCTAACTAATCCTCAGCTTTAGAGACTGAAAAATGTGAGGACATGGCAGAATCCATTTCTGACAGTGGCCAGTTAAACTCCCCACTGCGGGTAAAGCCTGGTAGTTCCAGTGGGGATGCTTACCTGATGCCCTGGACATCTGCACCAGACTATTTCTCCCTGGAAGCCTCTCGAGGCTCTATTCTTTATTATCTAATACTAGGTGAACAAAGAAACAGAATGGGGGAAAACTTAAGATCCTCTTCCCCCCATTACACTTTTCTGACTAGAGATAATTCCATTAAAAATGGAAAATGGTATCTCAGAGACCCCTCCTCCCTTGATGGTGCTGGAGAGAAGGCTGCGGTTCTCACTGTGTATGTCCATTTTCTGCATCATCAAAGCCTCTCCTCATCCCATCTCCCTCCTGGGGTCACTGGTTCTAGAATTACCACTTATATATTAGAAAATGAGATCCATTTGAAGTCGTGACTTCCCTTTTGCTGTGTGGTTTTGGCTTTTGACTTGCATTTGGGTCACAGACTGCTTTGAGAATGTAGGAAAAGCCACGGGTCATTCCTGGAAAATAAAGCTGCCCATAAAATTTTGTGTAATTTCAGAGGCTTCCCGCGTTATTCTTTTCTGGGGTCCCAGCCCCCAGGCAAAAGCACATGCAAGAGTTACAAACTCTGCTATTTATAGAAGTACTGCAGTCTTCTCAGAAATAAATCTATAGGTACTATTTTAAGCTATGCAACTTTTGGAAAAATTCCCCCAAATGACTAATCCCCATTTATTGACTGGTTTAGTCTTATTAAATTCAGTTATAAAGCATGGGCGTTCATGTTTTGGGCTTTGTTGTCCTTTATTAACTGACCTAATAATCTTACTCAACTTTAAAATGCTCGAGAGTAGGTGCCAAGCATATATTTTTATTTCCTTTTTAGAACAAAATTAACTTCCATTACTATATATTAAGTTTTACTATGGTAAATCCCAGAGGGTCATTAGTACATATCTGTCCTCTTGAGACTATCTACTCTCGAAATAAATGGTATCTTTTTGGATCTCTTATTGCATTAAGATTTTCAGAAAATCTCCTAGAAAATACATACTTTTTCAGCAAAACCAGCTTCTCCATTTCCAATTAGTTGCAGACTTACAAGTTTGTTTTGTTTTTTTCATCTGAAGTCCCAATTATCTGCAGCAAGAACTGATCTAAACAGATTAATAATTCTCAAACGTTCCCATGTCCGAATCACCTGGGGCCTGTAAAAACGCAGTTGCTGGGACCCAAGACACTACCTCTCCTACAGGGTCCAGGGGGTGCAGATGCTGCTATGGCGAGGCTCACCCCAAGATTCCACGCATGTCATATGACAGCTGTTCATATGGGGCCGTGTGGGGTCGCTGTTAGAGATGTGTGTGCTGAAAAGGTCCACCTAGAATTTGCTTCATTGTGTTTCACTCAAGTGCATAATAAAATGAACTTGTTTTTTCTCTGCTCATCTCAGAGAGGAGAGAGGACCTAGGCATCTTGAGTTTTCAAAGGAGACGTAGGCGTAACAGTTTGACTCAAATTATTATGCTATTAGAATAATTTTCCATTGAGTGGGCCAGTACATTCGTGGATGGTACTTAGTGGGAGATAAACAGGACTCCTGAGGTAGACTACACAATTGGCCAGGAAGAGGCGTAACTGAAAAAATGCTAACGTCGTTAGCATTAGAAGAACATGCACCTGATAGTAATGTGGGTCTTTGAGATATGTACTAGACAGGTACAAGTTCTTTCTCTGCAGTATCTCATTTAATCTTCACAAATGGAGCAAATTAATTTCCAATTATCTTCTTCCAAAACGAGCATTGGGGCGCCCTGCAGATGCCGGACCTGGGCACCACAGATGCAGCTTCTCGGCGGCACCTGTGACAACGGGGCGGAGAGAAAGTGGCTATTTCTACGCTCAGTGCTTAGAACCGTGAGCACTAAGAATGGTTTGTAGCCAGACATTCCTATGGAAAAAGAGGGGAACAACAACCAGTGTTAGTGCTTGAGGAGCTAAGTAGCTTTTCCAGTTACGGAGTCAGAGGTCAAACCTCTGTCCGTCTGATACTGTTGCCCATGATATAGGCAAGGCCCTGAGTACTGCGTGCTCTCCCCAAACTGCATGTTTTGACAGACGTCCGCTCTGTCTCCGGGAAGCGGCTGTTTCCTACCGCAGGCAGCAGAGCGGTGCTGCTGGTCTCTGCACTCGGGCTCCATTAGCCCTTGTCTGTTGTCTCGTTACTGTCTTTCTCTTACAGGCGTGTTGCTCACTCACAGCTCCCCTGGGGTCCCCCTTTGCCATTTATAAAGGAGGGCGCCTGCTCTGAGGCACGAGATGATTGATGAGTGGGGGATGGATGGTTTATGGCGGGCTTCGTTAGTAACTTGCTTGCTTCTTAACATATCTCTGTAAATCCGTGAATTCTGTGAAATTATAGTCAAAATTCTGTGTCTGAAGGCAGACATTTTTCTACTGCAGCCACAGCCTGTTAATTTAACCTCTCGAGCCCCTGACTTATCACTGACCACAGGGAAATGCCGAAGACATTTCCTCTTCTAATCGCTTAGGCTTTTAAACAGACACCAAAGAAAACCTTGTGTTGGTGCTAACTGCGGTGATGACACTCCGGGTGTCTTTCTTCTAGGAGATGCAGGAGAAGCTGCAGGATTTTGCCCAGTTACCTGCTCACCGTGCCACCGACTCCTGTATCGTGGCACTTCTCTCTCATGGTGTGGAGGGCGGCGTCTACGGTGTGGACGGCAAGCTGCTTCAGGTGTGTGCCCTTGTGGCCAGCAGCCGCTGGGTGCAGCCACCTCGCCTCCCCCATCTCTCTGTGTGGCTGCTGTCACATGGAGGAGCCCGGACACCCAGAAGCTCACCGCCTTCTTTCTCTTGGCAGCTACAAGAAGTTTTTCGGCTCTTTGACAATGCCAACTGCCCGAGCCTCCAGAACAAGCCGAAAATGTTCTTCATCCAGGCCTGCCGTGGAGGTGAGTGCCCTGCAGAGCGGCACCTGGGTGGCGGCTCCAGGGCGGCTTCCCACCAGCTCTCACTGTCCTGTTTGCTCCTCTCAGGTGCTATTGGATCCCTTGGGCACCTTCTGTTCACTGCTGCCACCGCCTCTCTTGCTCTGTAAGTGTCTCCCAATGCATGGGGTGAGCTGGGGCTTGGGCAGCCTTGGCTCTCAGGCTGTCAAGCTCTCTGCAGCGCCGTGTCCTTTTCCCAGGACTCTTTAGCGGTGTCTTTGTCATCTTTCCTGAGAACTTGGACTCTTTTCTGTGCTTATTAACCTCGATGTGCTTTTTTTTGTTACTCATTCCAGTTAAAGGTTTCTCTGTCTCCTGCGCCTCTTCTCTCGCCCCTTCCTTTCTGCCCTGCTCCCCGCTGTCCGCAGCCTCCTTTGACTTCTCTTTTAACCTGCTCTTCCGTTCTGGCGCCTTCCTGCTCTGTCATCCCGTGCCCTGCAGGACAGCCGTGGACTCACGCTCTTTCCTGAGCTGCTTCCAGTCGCTTCTCTCCTGCATGTGATGCATTTTACCCCCTCAAAGGCCAGGACTCTGTGACAAGGCTCCAAAGACTCAAAGGCTTTCTTCCTGTGACTGTTTGTGTCAAGCTAGAGAAGTGACTCATTGTCCCCCTACCTTGGCTTCCTCGATATAAAATGAAGCTAATGAACAGGCCTACTTTTAGGGTGTTGTGATGATTGAGTGAGAAACACATATAAAGGATTTACTTAGCATACACCTGGCTCCCAGTAAACCCGCTGGAAAATGCCAGCTCTTCCTGTTAGCTTCTGATCCATGGCCTCGAGGGGCTTATAGTTTAGATTAAAGGTCTCTTTGTCTAAACATTCCATTCTTTTCTTTTTTTTTAAAGATTTTATTTCTGCATATAAGAGCTGGGGTGCAGGCCAGAGATGTGGGGGTGAGAGGATTCACCAGAGACAGAGTGGGGAACAGATCAAGCAGATCGACCGAAGTACACTGCTGGGCGTGACAGGAGAGGTCTGCTGCGCCATGTGGGTTGCTCCCTGGCCAGCCTAGGGAATCAAACTCATGCTGCAGAGGCTGCGGAGAGCTTCATAGGTTGCATCTTAACTCGTCGTGCCATCAGGGAGGTTCAGTGAATATAAGTGGTTAATGTTGTTTTCCTCTGACTCCCACCAAAGATATAATTTATTAAGATCCTACGAGATGACTAGATCACACCTGGAGTGACCACAAAAGAAAATGTGTTCTCTCTTTCTAAGGAGCCCACCAGTTGCTGAGAAAAGTACAGCAAATCTACGTGAAGTAACAAGAATAGTTCAAAGGCCCTGGGTGAGCAAGGGTGAAAATGAGTGAGGTAGAACTAAATCCAAGGAGTAAGCAATAAGAAATAGGTCATCTTAAATCAGTTTAACACGAAGGAGTTTTGTAGAAGCTTAATTTGGAGAAGATTTATGTAGGTGAGGAATGGCAAACCTTTCAGAGGGGATGGAAGAGCCACTGTAACCAGCACACAAAGATTGACAGTACACATCCCCCCTCCCCACAAAACATGGTGAGCAAGGAGTTCGTGCAGGTCTAGTTATAAAGCCATATCTGGGGACTCCCTGGTGGCGCAGGGGTTAAAGTCAGTGCTATCAACCTATCACTAGGCACTGTAGCATGAGTTCAATCCCTTGCCAGGGAGCTACCCACACAACGCAGCAGACCTCTCCTGTCTAGCCCTCTCCTCCCCTCAGCAGTGTATTTCAGTCAGTCTGCCTGTTCTACTCCCCACTCTGTCTCTGATGAATCCTCTCGCCCGCTCACACCTCTGGCCTGTACCCTAGCTTTTATATGCATAAATAAAAATAAATCTTTTTTTAAAAATTTAGAAAATTTTAAGTAAATAAATAAAACCGTGTCTGTACGTGTAGAGACATGTCTGCCCCCATGGGACAGATCCAGCCAATCATAAACCTTAGTCACAGCTGAGATGTTGAACTTCAGCAGATAACAGGGCTGAGCCGTTAGAAGCTGAAGCAGGAAAAACTGTGATGACTTTTTCTAGGACGGTGTCCATGGCAGGAGCTGTGCTGAGAGTATGTGAGGGCAAGGACTTGTTATTCACCTGCCATAGCTCAGGCCCAGGACTCTGCTGACACAGGCAGCACTGAGTAAATATTGAGTAATGGATGAAAATTAATCTGCCTAAAAAGTTGGAGCAATAATGTGGAAAGCAGGTGTGAGGATATTGGGGTGAACACCAGTAACGTTTATTGACGAGGAGCTTCGATGCGAGTGTACAAGAGGGTGCGAGGCAGCATTTAGCTGCGCCTGCCCCTGTAGGGCTCTTTACCGCGCAGTGAAGTAAGTGCTCCTCGCGGTCGCCCCTCTGGAATCCAGAGAGCGCGCATAAGATCTGTATAGGGAGAAAGCGCTCAGAACTGGGGTGATAGAATCTTTCGCCCTGCCTCTCAACTTCTCTCTGCCGTTGTGCCCTGAGGCCACATCTGCACTCATCTCTCTTCTGCTGCCTTAGTTAATTTAATTGGTGTTTGTGGAACAACCACCTCTCCCGCAGCTGACAGGCTCCTGGAGGGGAGTGAGCTCCACCCCCGGGGCATTCTAGAACAGTGCCTGTCATGGGCATCTAGTCTCCAAACTTCTTCAGGTCACCCCTGCGAGCGAGCTCCCCAACCCCGCGCCCCAGAATGGGCATGGGGTGGGCAACCTGTGCCAGCGAGGGCACCACCTCCACCTCTGCTGCCCTCACCTTACCACCCACAGCACCCTGCCCACCCCTCAGACATAACGTCATCAAAATACACACCTGTCTGGGGGTACCCGAGGCCTGGGTCAGCAGGTGGGACATGTGCGCAGGGGGTGTTGAGATGCCCCTGCTGGAGTTGAATGATGTGTTCTTTTTTGATTGCTTAGGAGAAAATACTCCTGTTATCCCAATTTTGAGTGTTTCCTCTAAAATTTCTCTTAAATCTTGGCTGCCTGCTAAATTTGGCTTATGAAATTAGAAAGGTAAATTAAGTTAATTACATAAAATGTTTATATACAATTTAAAATATTGGAAACACTTTGGAAACAGCTGATCCATGCTTAGTTTTCCAGTTTTTTTCTGTGGATACATAGATTCAAAGTGGTGATATTTATACAGCCTGTGGGTAGTAATGTCATTTGGGGTTTATTAACTTTTTTTTTATGTAATGGAATTAAATGTATCAGTATTTTATGACTGAGCAACAAAAAGCACTGTGACTTCCAGGGGTCCTGCTGAGTGAACGAGGACTCGTGGCTGTAGGTGGTTTGCTGTGCGTGGACGCGGAGTCTCTGACTCACACTTTTCCTGTCTCACACGGAATAGAGGGTGCTCAGGCATGTGCGTGGCGCAAGCTTGGGCCGCGCACCGGCGGCTCCCCCGAGCAGTGGAGGGGTGATGCGCCCTGGGAAAGGCGTGGGAGTAAATGACATTTGACTTTTAGCCCCTCAGCCCTCGGTCGAGGCCGCAGCTGGAAGTGGCTCTTCCCGGTCAAGGTTGCAGGAAACTTGCCCCGAGAGAGATGGGAGGAAATAACATCTTGTCCTCTCTGTCTGCCCTTCTGCAGATGAGACCGACCGAGGGGTTGACCAGCAGGACGGGAAGCAGCACGCCCGGTCCCCTGAGTGCGAGGAGAGCGATGCTGGCAGAGAGGTGCTGCTGAAGGTGCGGCTGCCCACGCGCTCGGACATGATTTGTGGCTATGCCTGCCTCCGAGGTACTGTGCATTCTAGAAGGTTGAGCCTAGAGCGTCCTCTCAGACTCGCACTCCCCGAGCTGGGCGTGCAGTGCAAGTCTGCTGGGGTGCGCTGGCAGTGAGGGGCTCCTGTGACCTTCTGCTGCCCTACTTGCAGGGACGGCCGCCATGCGCAACACCAAGCGGGGTTCCTGGTACATCGAGGCCCTCACCCAGGTGTTCTCCGAGCGGGCTGGTGACACGCACGTGGCCGACATGCTTGTGAAGGTAAGTGGCTCTGCTTGGCCTGGACTCCGCCCCTCTTCCCCTGCGCCGCGCAGGGCCCTCTGCCTATCCTGTCCTGCTGGCCTGGGACAGCAGCTTCTCAGACTCGGCCCCTGCATTCCTCCCGCCCAGGTGAACGCGCTCATTAAGGAGCGGGAGGGCTACGCTCCTGGCACCGAGTTCCACCGCTGCAAGGAGATGTCTGAGTACTGCAGCACCCTGTGCCAGCACCTCTACCTCTTCCCGGGACACCCGCCCACATGAGGCCCTGTGGAGCCATCGAGGGAGGCCACCGCACCGCCCGAGGACGCTTTCTGTTCCTCCCCTCAGGGACTGGGACTCTCCCAGCCTCTGTCACGCCTGCCCGCCGAGTCTGGGAGGACAGGCAGCTCCTGCGTGCTCCGCCTTCCTCGCGGCTCTGGCTGAACTTGTGACAGGGGTGTGGACTGCCGGGGATGCCATGGACACGGTGTCTCTGGGGAGGGGGCAGGTGGCTTCCTTCTTGCCGGTGTTCAGTTCCTGCCCACGGGCTTCTGTGGGTGGCTCCTGGGTGGTTGCTTTGGTTACATCCATGACGAGGTCTCAGAAAGCAGTTCCTCTTTCTTTCCTCTCCCACCCGCTTGGCCCTGGAGTGAGTTTGAAAAGTGTCCTTGCTTGACGTAGGCGTTTGGTTTCAAAGGGGCAGACAGGACTGGAGCCACACGGCACGTGTGTGGGTACAGCCCGCGCCCCCTCTGCCTCCAGGTCCAGGGTGCAAGGACGCCTTTCCACCCCACACTTGGCTCCTCTGGGCTCTAGGAGCCCAACCTTTTGGCTGACGTTCAGGCCTAGGGGGGCCCTTGTCTGTAACTCACTCATCTTTGCCCGGGGACGTTCCAAAGACCTTGTCGTGAGCTGCCCTTCCTCCAAGCAGTGTTGCTGAAATAAGCCCCTCAGAGGCGCCAGCAGAGGAGAGGGGGCGCGTCCCTGAACCCTGCCACCCTCTGCCTACGAGAGGTCCCTTTCCAGAAAGTCTTCCTAGGTGTTGTTTCGTTCTGTTTCTCCCTGTCTGCTTCATTTCATCCTCATTTCAGGTTTCATCCTTCCCCAAACCTGCTAAATACGACCTCACTGGGCCATTTGACTGCTCAAGGGAAGAATGTAGAGGCCATGTTCCTGCCTCCTGCTCAGTGTTACGTCCCCTTTGGTTTTGTTCAGCTTATGTCTCCTGCTCCTTCTGGCTCCATTTCAGGAAGCCCATTGTCGTAGATGTGTATTTATGCCAGGCGCGCGCTTTATCTGTGCGTCTGTAGAGTTCTTAAAGAGCTTGCCTGTTCTTTAAAGCCTTCTCTTTTACTTCCATTCTCGCCCCCTCCATATACTTTTGGCTTGGGGGTTTTAATATAAATCTGATCATGTCAATCCCTTGCTTAGTAGCCTTTGGTTTTCTGTTACACCTTAAATAAAATCCATACTCCTGACGTTGGCCTGCAAGGCTCTGAGTTCTGGCCCCTACCTTCCCCTTGGACCTCACCAAGTACTCATTTCCCTCTGCCAAGCCCCGGGGTTTGCTTTGTTTCTCCAGCATTCTCAAGTCACTGCTGCCAGACCAGCACAGGCACTCCTGGGGGTCTGCTGAGCTGCACCCTCAGCTCTCTGGGCTTGGACTCATCTTGGCCAGGGCGTAGCCTGAATGCCTCGTTCCCAAGGAGGTCTTCCCAGCCCCTCTGTCCCTGAACAGGCTTCTGTGTTTTATTCCTGTGCCTGTCTATTTCCTTCATCACACTTGCCACATGTATTTGCTTGCTTCACCTATTCATTTCTGTCTCCCCTACTAGGTCGTAAGCTCCATGGGGACCGAAACCTTCTCTCTCATTCACTAATAGGTGCCCAATGCCTGGCATGTGTCGATCTTCAAGAAATGTTACAGGAAGAAACCTACTGGAATCCTACTTTTTTACAACATTCCCTCTCAGCATGCACAGTGAACGTATCTGTTCTCTATATTTTTTCCGTGTGTTTCGTTTTATCCACTGGTATCATTAGCTCCTGAAGGCAGCGGTCACTTGGGAGACGACTCCCTGCCGTCTCCCCCGGCACCTGGCTCAGTGCCCGGCCTGCAGGAGTTCAGGTGCTCAACGAATACTTGCTCTGAGCCAGGTGGTTCCCGGGGCTTGTTGCCAAGCCCTGCCCTTGGGTCAGTACCATATGGAAGTTTTGGGTGACGGGACCTTCCCACTGCCAGGATTTTGTATTCTACCAGGTGCCAAATAAATGTTCATATTTATTACTGATGTGTGCCCCATGTCTCTGTCTATAGATAGCCGCCTCCTAAAGGCCACGTACTTCACTCCCTTAGCCCCTCCTGCCTTTCTCACCCCCGCCCAAGGCCTGCCCAGAGCAGAGCCCCCTCTTACCTTGCTGCTGGATCTCCACATCGGCAGGTGCCGGCCCTTGGTTGTCACGGCCATAGGCAATTGCCCAAAATACGGCCGGCACTGGGGTTTCTCTCAGTCCCAGGAGATGGAAGAGTCCCTGGGCCGCATGGGGGGAGGTAAGGGGATGATGCTGTAGCTCCCCCAGTCCAAGCTGGATTTGAGGTGCACCAGGTGGGGTTAAGTGTAAGAAGTCCAGGGCCTGGCGGGAGGGGGGGGCAGAGGCTGTAAGTGGGGGCTCCTCGGGCACGACGCTTGGGAAGTATGTGGGCCTGGCGCAGCGGGTGAGCCAGCACAGACTGGGAGGTTGGGGAGAGATGGGGGTTCTGCAGGGCCGGTGTTTGGCAGCAATCCCGGGCCTGGTACGTTCACTGTCAGTTCAGGCAGACAGACAAAGAAGAGTCCTGGAGCACTCGGTGGCTTTCTTGGGCTTGAATGCTCTTTCTGCGCCAGTCGTTACCACACAAGCCTGCGGGCTGGCAAGGCGGGAGGTGAGGGTGGTGCCCGGGAGGCTGACAGGCCTCCTAGTCCCCAGCGAATCTTCACTCTTTGGACTTTCTCTGGCTGCTTCTCCTGGTCCTGCCTCCCTGTAGTCACTCTCCTCTAGTAGCCGTTCCGCTGCTGCCATCTCTGTGACGCCACCATCATGGCCGCAGCCTCCAGGCTCAGCTGTGACCACTCACGCATGCCCACACCACATTCCAGGTGTCCACCATCAGGCATGCTTGCCCCAAGCCCAGGCTCCCAAGAGCCTCCTGCACTATCAGCTGCAGGTGATAGCCATAAAGGCCGGTGTCGTAAAAGCCTGACCATCTCATTTACCCTCCAGGCAGTGTGGCAGGAAGCAGCTGGGGGACACTGAGGAACAGGAGGAAGAGCAAACATTACTTGAGCTGTGTCTCGCCACCAGGTCAAGGAAGGGCAATGGCCTGATGGACCCCAGTGGTGAAGAGCCAGGACAAGCGACCTGAAACAGTCGGCTACACTCTGGAGAGGGTCTGAAATGCCTGGAGCAGGGGCGGGAGGAGGTGCCACCTCCTCGGGTCGGGAGGCTGCTGGAGGCCTGCAGAGCGCCTGGCTCAGCTGAATCCCTTGTCCTTCCCACCCCGCCCTTGAATAAGGGTATGGGGTTGAGTTTCAGCTCTTTCCCTTCCCCCTGCTTCCCTCTGCCAGAGGATTCTCTTCTAAAATTATCCCCCGCCCTGAGCCGGGGGCTGCCCTTCCCTGCTGCCCTCCCCCAGCTGCTTCCTCCAGTGGGGAAGAGGAAACAGGAAGAAATGAAACCCACCGGCTGTCCCTGGAGGGAAGGGTCCCAGTGTGAGGAGGCTGTCAGCCCCGACCCTCCGAGCTCCCCAGGAGGGGATTGGGGAGGTCAAAGGCTTCAGTGTGCCCCAACTTCCCCACAGTCCACAGGACAGTCATTTTCCTTTTTCAGAAGAGGCAATCAAGGCTCAAGAGACCGCAATCATTTAAAAAGTAACGAAGCAAAGCAGTTTCCAGGGTACTGACTCCAGAAATAATCAGAAGTTGAATGCTGGCTCGGCCTTTAAGAGGCCTCAGGTAGCTGCCCTCACTGGACCTCGGCCCCCTTAGCTGAAAGTGAGGAAACGGCTTCCACCTCACAGGCCTCTGAGCATTAAATGTGGTGATGCCAGCAAGGCAGGCGACGTCATTGCGTCACAGATGCTTGATTGCGTTGACTGTCTCCCAGAATGGCTTCCTTTAGTACCGGTAACATTCCTTCACAAGGCATTCTGTTATCAGCTTGACCCTCTAAGCGACTGCCTTTCTGAGGAAACAGGTGGGAAAGCGAGACAAGACTGTCAGCTTAAGTGTAAACTCTTAACTGGCAAATTAACTTCTGTGACTTTTTTCCTAGCATGAGATTTTTTTTTCTCCCTTTTTTTGGGCTGCAGATGTGTCCCCTTTGAGCTGGGAGACAGTCTGGAACCAAAGATTTTATTCCCTCTTAGTCTAGTTAGGTAGAGACCAGGGACAAGTGTACCATGTTAGAAAAGCCAGAAGAGGGAGAAAGAGTCCTGTCGGGCTGTGGGGAGGCCCTCGTGTGCAGGCCAGGGGAGGAGCCAGGCTCCTCAAAGCACCTGGAAAGCAAAGTCCAACAAGGAGTGGAGGTGGCAGCGAGCACACTCCAGAGAAGGCGTCTTCGGAGGAAGTGGCCCAGCTGACGTTTCAGAAAGGGGGTGGCTGTAGGTTGGGGTAGTCTGGAAACAAGGGTGTCACCCGGACAGAAAGCTGGTGCTTGAGCTGACAGAGGGGTCACCTCACCCAACACATCTCCAGCACCTGTGTCCCAACAACCTTCCCGCCAAAAGCAATTCTGTATCCCTGTAGGTTTGAATCTTTTGTTATCAGGGACTGCAAGAGAATCTGTTTCAAACTCCAGATTTCCTTGAGCCTCCAAATTTCAGGGTCTGATTCTGGGCACGCTGTAGGCGCTTCTCCAGGGCTAGGTAAAGTGTGGGTCTTTCCTAGGCACTGGGATCTCTGTCTCCACCTCAAACCCATGCCTGGAGGGAGGAGGAAGTCTCTGCATTAGCTATTTGCAACTGGAGATTATCAACCCGCAACAGAAACTAGCTATGTCAGGAGCACCGCACTCCCTAAAGGGTGAAGACCTGTCTCTGAAGCCCTACAAAGAACTTCCCTTTGGCGGTCTATTTTCTTTAAGAAAGCTGTCCTTTTTTTTTTTTTAAAGATTTATTTATTTATGTGTATAAGAGCTGGGGTACGGGCCAGAGATGTGGGGGGTGGGGGCGTGAGAGGACTCACCAGAGACAGAGTGGGGAGCAGAGCAGGCAGATTGACTGAAATACACTGCTGAGGGGAGCAGCGGGCGAGACAGGAGAGGTCTGCTGGGCCATGTGAGTAGCTCCCTGGCCAGCCAGGGATCGAACTCGTGCTGCAGAGGCTGCGGATTTCTTCATAGTACGGTGCTTAAACCCTTGTGCCACCAGGGAGGCCCCAAGAAAGCTGTCCTTTCATCGCACACCAACTCTTACATCTCCTTCCTTATGTTCTACCTGCAGAGAAGGTGGACATCACAGAAGCTTCCATCCCTCAAATCATCATGTTTGTCACCTTTGTGGGTAGATTATAGGCCTTTGGGTTTGTGGGATTATGCTAGAAAAGGGGCATTCCATGATTCCATCTTCCTACCAGCTCTGGGCAGTTCCATTTATCCTAGATCAAAATTGAAGAGCTGGCTTCAGCTGCACTGACGCTAGACTTGGATCGATACAGAGATTAGCGTGGCCCCTGCACAAGGATGACACGCAAAATGAAGTGGTCCAGGTCTTCACACTAATTCCACAGGATATGTGCACCCTACGGGCACTGCAGCACTATTTGCAAGAGCTAAGATTTGGAAACAACCTGAGTGCCCATCGATGGACAAGTGGGCGCAGAAGAGGTGGTATATACACATAATGGACTATGACTCAACAAAATAAGATGAAATCTTGCCATTTGTGACCACGTGGATGGAACTGGGGGGAAGGAAGCTAAGGGAAATAAGTCAGATGGAGAAAGACAGCTTCTCCCTGATTTCACTCATACGTGAAAGATAAAGGAACAAATAAGAGCAAGCAGGTGCCTCTCTGGTGGCCTAAGGGGTTACGATGCAGCGCTGTGAAGCTATCCCCGGCCAGGGAGCTACCCACATGGCGCAGCAGACCTCTCCTGTCTCCCCACTGCTCCCTCAGCAGTGTACTTCGGTCAATCTGCCTGTTTTGTTCCCCACTCTGTCTCTGGTGAATCCTCTCACCCCCCACACTTCTGGCCTGTACCCCAGCTCTTGTATGCATAAATAAATCTTTAAAAATAAATAAATAAATAAATAAATAAAAGCAAACTCAGACTATAGTAAAAAAAAAAATCCTGGCTCTCTGAAGGGAAAGGGTGTAAAATGGTCTAATGTGTCAGCTGTGTGGTAGAGAAGGAATCTAGACTTCGGGGGGCCATCTTCATGGAGCGTCTGCAGCTGTGGAATTGCAACGCTGGACACTGAGGCCTAAATAATGTTACCAGCCATCGTCGCTTCAGTAACAATTCTTGTCATTTCATTGTAGACGGGATGTTTGGTGTCCCCACCCTGCTGCCCCTGAACACCTGCTGTCTGGGGCAGACCCCACGGGCCATGGGTTCTCAACTACACACAGGCTGATGGGGAATAACTTTGTTTTCAGCGAGCAGTTCACAGGGAAGGCCCTAGGAAAATTGGTTTGAAAAAAAAACCAACATGGTGCCAGACAGAGTGGCCTGACCTTGACCAGAGAGCATTTATTGACCTGAAAAGGGAAGAATGGCCGCGAGGACTTCCCCATTGTCTCTTACATCTGTGGGGCTCCACCTGAGAGCGCCCACTGCCTCTCCCCTCTGCTTCCCCTGCAGCCCTGGCCACTTCCCCTTCCTCCCCCCATTATCTAACCTGGCCTGATGGCCTGGGGCGGTGGTGCACCCCCATCTAGATGCACCTCAGTCCCTCCCCGAGACAAGAGTCCAGGCTGCTGGTATGACAGCATTGACCTGTCTGGGAATCAGGGAAAATGCCCGAACCCAGGGCTGTTCCCCACAAGTGCCCACACCCAGTGGGTGATAAGGTTGGCGTCATGGGGTGGCACCGAGGCATTACTAGCAGACAGAAAAGGCAGAGCTGGAGGCGAAAATTAAAAATTGTTTGGGTTGGGATTGCTGGTCAGACCAATGGGGACAAAACCCTGGGAAGAGACAGAACCAGGAACCACCCAACAGGGAGAGATGGCAGAGAGGCTGCAACTCCTGCGCCCGGTGAGTCCTCCCCACGAGTCCGGCTGGCAGCCCACCCCTCCTCTTTGCAGGGGCTGCAGAGAAGGGGTGTGGACCGAGCACCAGCTGGGCGCACGCAGGGCGGGCAGCACAGAGTGCTCCTCCATCCTGGCCTGGGCAGTATTTATAGAGCGACCAGTGACCTGGGGCTGGAAGCCTCCTGGAGACTAAGGAGGGGGTGGCCGGGCTGGCCCTGTGGAGCGGGCATTCCCGGTGGGGCTGTCCCGCAGGTTCCCATCCCTGTCCCTCCCCCGCCCTGCCTCACACCTGCTTCGACCCCAAGCAGATCAGATGTGTCAGTGGGGGGTCATGTGACAGCGAGAGGGCTATAAATAGCCGGGGTGGGCATGATGCCCCAGACGCCTTGGGGACGGGCAAGTCAAGAGGCTTAAGGAACCGGATTGGGGGGTACGGGGGGCCAAGCAGGCCAAGGCCTGGCCGGGGGAGGGAGCATGGAGCCACCTGGGTCCCGCCAGCGTGGGGACGAGCCAAGCTGGTGGGGTAGTGCCCCCCAGTACCAGTATATGCCCTTTGAACACTGCACCAGCTACGGACTGCCCTCGGAGAACGGGGGCCCTCAGCACCGGCTCCGCAGGGATGCAGGCCCCCGTCCCAACACCCGCCCCACACAGGTAAATTCTGGGAGGGTGGTGGACTCAGGGCGCTGCATGGGCGGGGGGTGGGGGTGATTCAGAAAAGGGCGAGAAGAGGGAGCAGTGTTATCCTGGTTTTAGCTTTAAAAAGTACAGTGATAGGTTCGACACAGCGAAGTCCTTCCAAGGGCTGGCCTCGGCTGAGTGTACGTTGTGGACACACACACTTTTACATAACTGCACGGACACTCTCTCGGCTCCGCTGCGGGGACGGAGCTCGAGCTTACATAACCCACATGAAGGGGCTGCAGCTCCTGTACGGGGCGCCCTGACACCCTCACTCACAGGCAGACAGCTGCAGATCTCTCCCTGCCGGCCTCAGCGGAACACACTCCCACAAACACTCCGCAGAAGGCAGAGAGCTGGCATGAGCCAGAGAGCAGGCTGGTGGCACATTAGCCATCAGCTACACCAGGGCCCGGAGGAGCCTGAGAGATGTAGTCAGACCTGCAGGCGGGGAGGTGGGTCCCCTAAGAGCCTATTTAGGGTTGGGGCACCTGAAAAGACAGAGATCGGGGCTCTCAAAGTTACAGGGGTGCCAGGAGTAAACATGGTCCTGGAGCGGGGTGGGGCTGGCTATGGGCATGAGAGGAAGGGCACCCTGCAGGGAAGGTTGGGAGATTGTGGGGTGAGCAATACAAGTTTGACTGGGGCGCAAGCATGTGTGCAGAGCACGGATGGGCTATGGCAGGAGGACCAGGAAACTGAGACTTTCAAGTGTCTGGGCAAAGGGGGGGCCATGGGTGACGGGGCTGCAATTCCTTTCATTGAGGGGACCTGGGTGGGGCTGGGAAGCTGAGGGGCCAGTCTGTGCAGGTCACCCCAGCCTGGGGGATGGGGAAGAATGGTCAAGAGAATCCACATCCCAGCCCTGATCAGCCCCCCAGGTGGCTGGAGGAATCACCCTGGAGAACACTGGAGGACATCAAAGCTGGAGGGGGTGGTCAGAGAAGGCTTCCTGGAGGAGGCCTGTGCGACTGGACAGAAAGGAGTCCCCGTGGCCCTGCGCCCACTGTGAGCTTGGGCCCGTCGGGGTGGGGAGGCAACGCAAGGGAAGGGCTGTGATGTCACTTCCCTGACAGTGAGGAGGCTAACGCAGGCAGCGCGAAGGTCAATATATTGGGGCGTCAGCTCAGACTGGCACCCGCGTGGCCTTGCAAGCCAAGAAGAGGAGTTTGGATTTAAGTTTTTCTCGGCTTCATTACGGCTGTGGAATATTTCAGACTCACACAGAAACAGAGCAGAATGATGACTCCCAAGTGGCCCTGAGCCAGCGTCAATGATTAGCGATCTTCTGTCCACGTGGTTGGGCCTGTCCATCTCAGCCTCACCCCTAACTCCTAAAGGGGGCACTTTGGTTCTAGTCCCAGGCGTGACATCCCTTCCACGGCCCGCCTCCCTCCCTGCCTCCCCAGTCTTGTCTGGCAGGAGGGGAGCCCTGAACCCACCAGCACAAATCTGGCCCTTCTCGAGTTTCCAGAGTTTCCAGCTGATGCTTGGGGTGGCGCGGGCCCCCCTCAACACAGCCAGCGGGCTGTGTCCTCTCTTTGGGTCCCAAGAGGGGCTTGGGGGGAAACAGTCTCCCTTGGTCACCAGCCTCATCCACAAAGACGAAGAGCCGTGGGCGGGGCATTCCTGGTGCCCCTGTCCAGGTGGCCCCACAGCTCAGCTGCTGTGTTGTGAAATCAGATCCACAACCGAGCTCTCCCAGAACCAGCAAGGCGGCCTGGCCTGACCCCGGACAGAGGGGGTGGGGAGGCTGAAGGCAGTTAGAGCCCTTGCACCCCTGCACCCCCGCCCTACTCCCAAACGCACAGGCTGGACATCCGGATGAGAGCCAGATCAGAGGGCACTGCCCTCCTTCGCATATGCCAGGGGGGCGGGTGCATGGCATGGTCGTGCCCTGGGAAGAAGGGGTCCAACTTGGCTTCTCAGGGTCGGTGGCTGTGGGGCGGAGGGGCTTTCTCTAAGCTCGACGGAGGCCCTGGGTGGGGGGCGTGCAAGTAAGGCTGGACACAGCAGGCAAGTGCAGCCAAGAGTCACTGGCCAATCCCCTCACCCTGTCCTCTGAGATTCCAGAAGGAAAGGGGTGTCTGGGGTGTTATCAAGAGGTGAGCTCTGCAAGCACAGAGGCACGGGAGACACCTGAGGGGCATGAGTGCCCCAGACACCGGCTCCTAGGGAAGCTGCTGAGACAGGCGAGGACAGAGAGACAAGGCTAGAGAGTGGCAAAAGTGGGGTGCAGGCCCCGCAGGCCCCGGTGACCCCATGTGAGGCCCTCAAGGCCCAGGGCTGCTGACTTGTTTTTGTTTTGGTTTTTTTCCTGTGGATTTATCTGCTTCACACTGTCCCTTCCTTTCCACTCTTCAACAAGACAGACATTTCCCTTCTCCCTCTGCCCAGATTTACGGCCATCGCAAAGAGCAGAGCCCGGACACGGAGCAGGACTTGGAGATGCCCAACAAGACGGGCTCCAGGGCCACCTTGGACAGCAAAGACGAGGATCACTGTTCAAAGTGTCAAGGTGATGGGGACCGAGGAGCAAAGGGCCTGGAGTAGAAGGAGGCACAGGAATCGGGACACTAAGTTTGGGGGTTCATTGCATGCTCCCCCCACCTGGCATGCTCCCCCCACCCCACTACGGCTCTCCTCCAAGTCCCAAGGAAAGGCGCCTCTCCCCACCTCCTCCTGCCTCGCTCTGCTCTGCCTGGTCCCTGCCCCCCTCCCAGCCAGCCCCAGGAATTCACGCACCCACTGGGGAGTCTGACTTTGGCACCTCTGAAGGGCAGAGAGGTGAAGGGAAACTCGGTGCCTGTGCCATACAGACGCACCCCAGCCTTGGTCACCCCTCTGGGGTGGCTAGTTAGCTGCTCTCCTCTGTGTTCTAGGCTGTATCCGCCGCTTGGGACGTGTGGTGAGAAGAAAATTAGGGGAAGACTGGATCTTTCTGGTGCTTCTGGGACTCCTCATGGCCTTGGTTAGCTGGTGCATGGATTATGTCAGCGCCAAAACCCTTCAGGGTAAATGTGACCTGGCCCTTTACCCTCCGCCTCTCCCAGCTAATGTGGCTGTTTCTGGAGTCTGGGCCTGGGGGTGCTGGGTGCTATGGGGAGGGGTGTGTCATTCAGAGGACCAGGCCCAGCTCTTCCCAGGACAAGGTCAGACCCAAGTCCATTTCTCCTGCCCTTCTCCCCGCTGCCAGCCAAGCTGTGGGTGTCCTCTTCAACGTGACCAACCCACCTCCATTTGCCAGGACTGTCCCTCTTTGGGCATTGAATATCCTGAGGCCCAGCCACCCCTCAGTTCTGAGCTAACCTGACAGTTGCTCAACCTGTGGCTTCTAAAGATGTGTCCACCAGCCCATATCTCTCACGAGGGATGGAACCTGAACAGGTCTCGTCAGGATCCTTGCATTTCCCATGGAAATAGTACCGTCTCGTGAGGTCACACGGGCAGCCGCTGCCACTGCCGAGACCCCTGGCACGCTGTCCTGTGAGGCGGGCAGGGTGGCGGTGGTGGCCACTTTCCCTCCGCAGGCGGCTGAGCCCGCGGTGTCCCCGCAGTCTACAAGTGGACCTACCACCGGATGCAGCCCAACGTGCCGCTGCAGTACCTGGCCTGGGTCACCTTCCCGCTTGTCCTCATCCTCTTCAGCGCCCTCTTTTGCCACCTCATCTCTCCCCAGGCTGTTGGTGAGACCCCCTCCCACGCCATCTTCCCAGACCAGGTCACCATCACCACCTCCTTGGCCAGTCGGCTGACGTCTCTGCCCTGCCCTCGCCCCACCCGGGGGTGGCCCTTTCACCCGCTTGGCCGCTTGGCCGTGTCCTCCCTCCACAGCCACTTCCTGAGGCCCACTCTCCAGACGCTTATCTCCTTCCAAAGCTCTGCCTGGGACCTGCAGCTACTGGTTTTTGAATCCTTGTAGGCTCTGGCATCCCTGAAATGAAGACAATACTCCGCGGGGTTGTCCTGAAGGAATACCTCACTCTCAAGGCCTTTGTGGCCAAGGTGGTTGCCCTGACCGCGGGGCTGGGCAGCGGCATCCCTGTGGGGAAGGAGGTAGGTGTGATGTCCCTGAGGAGCCAGCGGGGACGCCTCCTGGACAGCAGGAAACAGTCCCAGGGCACTCTGGGAGCAGCCCATGGGGACTGGGCCAAGGGTACTGAGGAAGGGAAATCCTCAGAGACGTCCAGCCTTGGGGGCGCAGAATAAGAAAGCACATTCGAGCCAGGAACAGTCACTTGTGCTCAGTGCTGCTTGGTTCCGGGGGGCTGTCCTGTGCATTGCAGGTGTTCAGCAACACCTCTGGCCTCTCCCCCCTAGATGCCAGTAGCAGCCACCAGATGTGACAATCAGAACATCTCTAGCATTGCCAAATGTCCTCTGGGGGGCAAAATCTCCCCCAGGTGAGACCTACTCCTTTAGGTAGAATCCAGATCCATCCCCGTTTTAATATGCAAACACTGGCCTAGAAAGAGCCTGTGCTTTTTTCAAGGTTATTCTCGCCCCACGACAGACCCATCAACACTCCACGCAGCCGCCAGTCATCTTTCCCAAATGGAACCAGCAGTGTCTGACCTCTGGTCAGGACCTTCTAATGGCTCTCCAATGTCCTGCAAATGCAACTCGAACTTCTCGTTGGGGCCCAAGAGGCCAGCGGTGGGGTGACGGCCCGACCTCTCATGCTCCCCCTCTGTCACTGAGGCCGGGTCACGAGGTCTCCCTCCTCCATCCCACAAGCTTGGATGTTCCACACCTTGGCACAGCCCTCGTCCTGACGCCCGGTGGCTCATCCTGTCATTTCATTCGAGCGCTGCCACCGGCTCTCCTGGAGCCCTCTCCAAACAACCCCCGCTCAGCGCTCTGCCCCAGCCCCTCACCCTCCCATCTTCTCACTGTCCTTAGCATTTTCTGGAAAGACCCACATGCCAGTCTATCGTGGGACTCACGAGAGCAGGACCCCTTCCTTAGCACCTTCCCAGCGCCGGGGCCAGTGCCTGGAGCAACTCGTGGCCCCATCCGGCCCCCACTCCTGACCCTCCCCGCTCCCTCCAGGGCCCCTTCGTCCACATCGCCAGCATCTGTGCCGCTGTGCTCAGCAAATTCATGGCCGTGTTCTGTGGGGTGTACGAGGTAAGGCCGAGAAAGTCAAACGAGGCAGGAGCTGTGTGGGCTCAGGCTGCCGGCCGTGGAGGGCTGCCTTTGCTCTGTGCTGGCTGTGATGCTGAAATGGGGCGCTGCACGAAGCCACGCTCCGCACCCACATCCCCCCAAGCTGCCTGCCCTAACCACAGCGGGCCTGCACTGTCCCGTCAGCCCTCTCTCCTTGACACGTGTCCCTGCATCACCGTCAGCTGCCCCTGTGTGGCTCCCCTACGTTTCCCCTACCCTTGGGGGTCCTGGCTCCTGCCCCATCTCCATCAGGCACTGCCCCTGCCCTACTCCCTCCTGGCCCCGCGTGCTTCTCTGTTGCAGACCGTGCCTCTGCAGCTTGACCTCCTGGTGCCAGCCTGCGCGGTGGGCGTGGGCTGCTGCTTCGCAGCCCCCATTGGAGGCAAGTCCTGCTCCGCCCTCCCTGGCCAAGCACCACACTCGAGGGACCACTGCTTGAGGGTGGAGGGCGGTGTGCACCGGAGGGATGAGTGGGTGGGCATTCAGGAGTGACCCCGGCCCCCAGGCCCTGCTCTCTGGACCCCCAAACCTCTACCAAGAGACCATGGTGCGGCCTCAAGTCTCTGTCCCAAGTCTCTCCCTGGCGTGGGCACCTCCCAACCTGACTGTCCCCACCTCCAGCCCCTCTCTGGTGACCCCTTCTTGGCTTCCCCGCTTCCCAAATGTTCGCTTAACTTTATGTCATTTTCTATGGTTGGCCTTGGCTATGAGGTCACTTCCTGTTTGCCCAACTCACTGGGTTTTTCTTGGCCTGGGGATTGCGGGGGGATGGGCCGACTACTGTGGTTCCCTGTGACTTAAGCCTCGCCTCTGCCTTGTCCCCCACCCTGCGTGTTCTCCTCTCTCTCCCTGCACCCCTTCCCTCCTCTCGCACCTCCCCTGTCTGTCTCTCCCCCAGTAGCAGCCCTACTATTACACCGACACGCTGACGGTGGGCTGCGCGGTGGGCGTTGGCTGTTGTTTTGGGACACCGCTTGGAGGCAAGTGATGCACCCCTCCTACCTCCGTCCACTCGCCTGGCCTTGCTGCCCGAGGGTCTGGCCAGCAGCACCCAAGCACCAGCTGCACCAGCAAAAACAATAATATAGCAGGAGCAGCTGACTTCCAAGGAGCATCTACTAAGCGCAGGCAACGTCCTGGGCACGTTTCCTTTATTCCTGCCGGAAGCCGCGCAGGCCAGAGGGCCGAGCTGGGCCACAGAGGGAGGGGCATAGCCGGGGTATCTCCCTGAGCAGGTGGCCGAGGCAGCAAAGACTCCAGGCACCTCCTCTGTTCCCCTTCTTACCTTCAAACCTTTTTGTGGTATTAGGCTTCAATTTTTCCATCTTCTAACAGGGGACTCCAGGAAAAGCTCACTTTTTCGTGTGTTATTAAGGACAATGAGGGCCGACTTTACTGAGATTCAGCCAGTTTTAAAGGAGGATTCTGAGGGAGTTAAAATGTAATTGTTCCTTGACATGGATTCACGGTTGAAGTTGGCTCTTTCCACATCTGTAGGGTAAAGAGTGACCTTTCTGATTATTTTCCTGGATGACTAACAAATGGCACAGTCAGAGAAAGCAGTCGTAGCTGCTTGTTCACAATAGATCAGCATCACGCCTTGTTGCCGGATGAACAGAGCAGGGGTTATGTGGATTATTCAATGGATTCATTGATGACTTAAAAAAAAAAAAGACACTATGCTAACAGCTGGAGAGACAAAACTGCGGGCAAGGCATAAGCTTCTAAAACACACCAGCCATGGGGAGGGTCCTTTTGATGATGAATATGCAATTGGTCCTTTCCTGACAGAATCTCTCTGGGTAGATCAAATGCTTGGCTCAGGAATGCTAGATGGAGTTAATAAAAATGTCACACTCGCTTGTCCCTGAGTCAAGGTGTGGCCTAAGGAGACAGGTCAGGGAGCAGGGCAGGTGGCGTGTCTGCACTTCAATTCTGTCAGCTCTTGTCATTCAAGTGACAGGTCCCCATCAGTGATGGGGTGGGGCGCTGGAATTTCTGCACGCATTAAACATTCACACTTTCACCTTTCTTTACTCTTTCCCTTAACAAATCCAGAAGCTCTAAAGAACATTTTTAGATGGCAAAAATTTGATAGGAGGATGGCAGAGGAGGGAGGTTTGGTGGTTAAGGAGATTCTTTGAAAGTGAAGAGAGTCGCAGTTTCTGTGTAAAACTGGAATTTCTGGGATAAATGAGGACATCCCTGCCTGGTCCTGGGTAGAGGGTGGGTTGGCAAGGCCAGAGGAAAGTTCAGATGAAGCTCCACTCTCGACACAGGAAAACTGCAGGCATTCAGAGGTTAGGGGTTACAGGATGTCTGTGTTAAGTGGCAGATCATAAATGTGCTTGCAGATAGCCTGACCTGATGGGTTCGTAATGAACGTAGATTAATTATGAAAGAAAAAGCAGTATCAAGATCAGTTATTCACTATGTGAACTCTGAATTCCTTAACGCTGATAAAAGAAATATATCACCATTCTACTAACATGACAAACAGCCTTTGCTTCCACTCCGTCCTCTGAGGTTCCAAGGTGCTCCGGGTGGGAGAGTCTGCAGACAGGCAGACAGGTCATCGCAGCCCCTCACAGAGACATCTCAGAGGCAGCCTGGGCACTTCCTTTGAAGCCAGGTGGCCAGGGCAACTTCACAAAGATGGAAGGTTGGATCTGACTTGGGGGAGTTAAGTGGGAACCTGTAGGAAGAGGGTGAGGGTGGGATAGATGGGTATGTCAGGGACATTTGCACCATTATAGCAAAGTCAAGAGCAAAGTCAATACCTCCAGCAGATGAGAATTTTCCAGAGGGTGCAGGGAAAGGAGTGACAAGAAATGAGTCTGGACAGGTAAACGGACACCACCTACATGAATGTAGATTCCGTTCATGGCGTCGCTAGATGGAACAGGGAAAAAGTTTCCCAGGTTAGGTAAGTTGGAGAATCTTCCTTGCTTGCTCACTGTGGTCATTTTTGAAGCTGGAGCTGTCATCAGGCTTGGCACTCTCGTGAGCATTGTGAATATTTAAAACCCAGCTTCCATGTAGCTTTCCCCCCACCAGAATCCCTCTGCTAAGGTCTCCTTCTCCGAAGGCCCGGTTGGGTCTGATGTGGGGAGATGCTGTCACAGGTGAAGGGGAGCAGGGAAGACTTTTGAACAAGGGAGGGACCCTCCAGCTCTGCATGTTTGTCTAGTCCCCGGGGCGGATGCGTGCGGGAGAGAACGGGCCTGTGGCTTCTCGGGATTAATCAAGATTAACCAGACTCTGGTCCCGATGCTGGAGGATGAGCGAGCGAGCTGGGCAGAGGCAGAGGAGATGGTGAGGAGGCTGACTGATCCACGTGGCGCCTCGAGAAAGTGAGAGGGGTGTGACCTGGCAGCTGCTGTTATGTGAGAATGTGAGGGTAAGAGGGAGGAGGAACTAGGCTAACTCCCAAGTTTACAACAAGGGAAACTGAGTGGGTGTTGGCGCTAGCAAGCTCGAGAGGGAACGTGGGAAGTGAAACAGGTCCGGGCAGTTGATAAATCAATCTGAATGTGTTGCATTTGAAGGTCCTGTGGCAGGTCCGGGAGATCCAAGCGGCGGCCTGGTCTGGCGCGCAGGAGCAGGGCTGGTTCGCTGCGTGGCTGCCCGGGAGCAGGCAGGTGGCAGGTGAAGCCACAGAACCGATGACATGGGGGAGAGAATGTGTCTGTGAGCAGCAAAGGTAGAAGGCCAAGGCCACAGTCCTGGGCGGGCCAGAGGCCAAGAGCCAGCAGGAGGCCAAGGAGGACACCTAGGGTGGGAGAAGACAGCAACCTGGCAGAGCCCAGACACCAGGGACACCCAGAGCCTTCCTAAAAGCTGTTTGTGTTTCCATTGCTTTGTTTCTTCTTAGCAACACATTTTCTGTTTGGCTCAGATTAATATTAAAATGAGTTCTTATTCCCGAATATACAGTGACAGACTGTTAGGGAAAGAGCCACATCTGGGGGAGGGGAAAAAAATCTAACCTAGGATCTCAAAAAGTGGCTGTGAAATAGTCGTGATCTGGGTAGTGTGCACCCCGACAGTCGGAGTTGTTTGGGGTTCGATTGCTGGTTTAAAAAAAAGGAGAGAGGCCGACTCCACCTGGCTGTGCCAAATTCTCCTTTGAGGCCAAAGTGGCAGCTGCCTTACCGGATGTGATTTGAGGAGCAGGGGCGGAAGGGGTGACTGGCAGAGCTCTGTGTGCCCCAGATTCCCTGCTCCCTCATTCTGTTTTCTGAAATTCCACCCATTCTGTTGTCTCTGGTTCTCTTCCTTCTCCGCTTTCCTCTCCCTGCCCGCCCCCGCCCAGCCCTTCCGCCCACTCCTGTTCACCCATAGAACAGGCATTGAGCCGGTTGTGTGCCAGGCACTGTATGAGGTGTTGGGTTCCCAGCAACTTTCAATCCTGGGGGATCTCAGGGGTGTGAACAAATGATCACATCTGAAAGCGGTAAGTGCTCTAACTGTGCAAAATCCTGAGAGAAGAAAGTAAGGGAGGGACTGTTTTGACCTGAGGGAGGAGATCCCCAGAGCAGGTGGCATGTGAGCTGACCAGCAGGAGTCCTCTGACGAAGGCCGCAGGCCACCACCCCCTCGGCATAAATGCCCCCCGTGGGAGAAAGAGCAGCACCCCCTCGGCATAAATGCCCCCTGTGGCAGAATGGGTGGGAGTCCTGAGGGCTTCCAAGCTGTGACTTCAACCACAGAACCCGGATGTCGAGGCTAGGCTGGAGATGCTGGCTGGACAGAGAAGGGGGTCCACAGGGGTGTCCTGGCAGATCAGCAAGAGGGAGTGTCTGGGTTTTCCCTGCTCATTTAATTTTATGTTGCGTTTTCCTGGTCTTCCTCGCTCACTTTCGTTAAGCATGTGGCTTAATTAGATATCAGGTGATCTGGCCGTCAGTTTTTACTTTGCTTCTAATCGAAGTCCACTCTCTTATCTTTAACACGGTGTCCTCCACCCCCATCCTCAGGGGAGACACCCCAAGGCTCCCTGAAACTATAGATAGCACGAACCCTATCGATTCAGGTTTTTACGATACACACATATATAATAAAGTTTAATTTATAAGTTAGGCGCAGTAGGAAATGAACAGCAATAACCACAAACAAAATAGAACCCGAATACCATTGTGCCGTATAAAAGTTATGTGAATGCGGTTGCTCTCTCAAAATACTTTATTAGACGTAATACTTTCCTACTGAGGTTGACCTCGGGTAACTGACACCTCGGAAAGTGAAACCACAGATAAGGGGAGACTAGTGTAGAGTCAAAGATTTTTTTCTTTGCGTCTCTTAAATCTTGCTTTTCAGCCCCCAAAGCATCCCTTGCTCTGTCCCTACCAACCCTTGCTATTTTTCTATGTATCTACCTCCTCGGTTTCTGCTATTTAGGACTACAGTACTATATAGGGCTCCTGATCAGCTTCCCTTCTAGCTCACCTACCTCTGCTAAAGAGAATTGCTTTTCATTTCTTCTGGCCTCTTGGATTTCCCCCTTGCTTTTAAGTCAAGTTTTCATACTAAGTTTTGAATATTCGAACGATTCCTCTGTTTTCATGGAGTATTAAGGATTGTCAGCTCTTGCAAAGGCTTTTCCTAGTCATTGTTCTGATTTCTTCTGATAAAGCTGCCCCAGGGCACAGAGGGGGAGGTAGGAAGGGCGGGGTGGTTCGAGACTGTGCGTCTGAGCTCTGCACTGTGCTGTACCCTAGCTCCGGCTACTTTCTCTCTTCTAACTTTCTGCAGAACGTTACCAAGGCCCTTTAAGTCCCCACTGCATGTCCTACCCACCCTGCTCTCTAAGGGAGGGAGAGGGCATGCCCACCTGATCCCCATGTTTGGCAGGTTGTGGCCCCCCCATTTCCATCCTCTCTGTGGCTGGTTCAACAAGGCCCGGGGTGGGGTGGGGGGTCAAGGCTCCCTGGCGCAGCCGGCACGTGGCTCCCAGCGGGCACCTGCAGGGCTCTCTACTTTCCACTGCTGCTTACCCGAGGGCTCGGGCCTCAGCAGCAGCTCCTCAATCCGGGGCGGGAGTGCGGAGCCTCCACTCGGGCCTGCACCTGACCCTGCACCTGACCCTGCACCCTCACCCGGCAGGAGTGCTCTTCAGCATCGAGGTCACCTCCACCTACTTCGCCGTGCGCAACTACTGGCGAGGGTTCTTTGCAGCCACCTTCAGTGCCTTCGTCTTCCGCGTGCTGGCCGTGTGGAACAAGGATGCGGGTAACCTGACCCTAGGGGAGGCCGGGGAGGCAGGGAGGCTGGCGATGGGGTGAGGAGGGGAGCTCTTTGGGCAGTTCAGGAAAGGAACGGGTGGCGTGACCCAGGCCCAAGGATAGTGGAGAAGGCTGTGGGTCGTGGAGCGTGAGGCGGGAGAGGTTGTCATTGAAAAAGGAAATGAAATAGAAGAGCAGAGCTTGGACGTGGAGAAAGAAAGAAGTTGGCCCTGAAAGCTGCTGGCCTCGGTTCCCTGCCCGGGGTCTCCGGACTGCTCTCACCGTGGCCTCGACCCTTCCACCCCGCAGTCACCATCACCGCTCTCTTCAGAACCAATTTCCGAATGGATTTTCCCTTTGACCTGCAGGAACTGCCAGCATTTGCCATCATCGGGTCAGTGGGGCCAGCCGCTCTGGGAGTGGTGAGCCAGGGCTGGGGTGTGGCTTTAGATTGGACGGGACCCAGAAGGTGGGGCGGGCCGTGATAAAGTGTCCCTTGTGGAAGTGAGGGTGGCTAGCTGGCTTGCGTGGTCTTTCTCCCCCCCGCGGGGGCTAGGGCCGAGGGCTGAGGGCTTCCTCTCTGCCTGACTCACCCCCCAGGATCTGCTGCGGCTTCCTGGGAGCTGTCTTTGTGTATCTGCATCGCCAAGTCATGCTGGGTGTCCGAAAGCACAAGGCCCTCAGCCAGTTTCTTGCTAAGCAGTGAGTCACTGCCCTTCCTTCGCCCTGCCCACGTCCTCGCTGCTTTCTCCAGGAGTTGCTCCCATTTAATCTCCATGGAAGGCACTGGAAGCCTTTAGGTGGCTTGTGATAATATAGAAGGAAGCCCTGATACTCTCCTGGGGGCAACTGGTGTGGTTTCTCCTTTGAAGAGAGCTTTTGGATGGAGAGGATGCTCTTTGTTGGAAAAAGTGAGACAGCAGCACCCTGCAGGAAACGTGGCTGGCCGGAGCGCCCAGCTGCACCCTTGGGGGCTGGCTCGCTTAGGGGAGGATTCACTCTGCTTCCCTTTCAGCCGCCTGCTGTATCCTGGCGTCATTACCTTTGTCATCGCCTCCTTCACCTTTCCCCCAGGAATGGGTCAATTCATGGCCGGAGAGGTCAGCTCTTGGGGGGGCTGAGGTGGGGGGTCAGCTCACGGAGCACACACCTAGGACCACGTGCTTGGGCTGCTGAGCATATACACTTTTCCCGAAAGGGTAGAATCGGTCCCTGGGAAAAAAGACAAGGAATCTTGGGGTAATGAAATCATGAGGCTGGGGGGTCATTTCTCCAGAAAGGGAAGTGCCCTGGAAAACAGTCCTCGCCGCCCCTTCCCCGCCACCGTTTGCTTCCTCCTCTCACAGCTGATGCCTCGCGAAGCCATCAGTACCCTGTTTGACAACAACACGTGGGTGAAACATGTAGGTGACCCCGAAAGCCTGGGCCGGTCTGCTGTCTGGATCCACCCACAGGTCAATGTGGTCGTTATCATCTTCCTCTTCTTTGTTATGAAGGTACTTCTCCCTGCACACTTGGCCCCTGAGCTTCTCCCTGCTTCAATTTAGGGAAACCCAGGGTTTGCATGGGGTAGGGAAGGATACAGCTTCCCCTGGTCTGCACCCAACCGGAAAAGACATAACTCGGATAACCACAGCACAAGTTCATTACTCATCTGTAGACGTGAACCAATGTCTGAGTTAATTGCTCCGTTCATGTCAACTCACCATGATGCCTCAATTATTAGAGTCCTTCTAATGGTTCCACTTGATAAATTATTAAGACATCACAGCAGCCAAGTAAACAAGGACAAGATAGATACAGCCGTGCAGATAACTGTGCACAACCTCAGATGAATTAGCCAAATCCCCCACATAGTAGATAATGAGGTACTTCATTCTCCATGTTTCTGATTACCCATTTTTAGATGATCTACATATCCATTCTTTCCCCCAGCCTAGTGGGTAATCTATTTTCTAGAATTGCAAAAGAGATAAAATATTGAAATCATTTTTATTAGTGACTATAAATAATTTTTATAAATGGTGTTATCCTTTGTTTGGGTAACAGGGCTGTGAGGATCTTGCGATTCTCAAACTATTTTCTTCTCTCTTCAGTTAGGAAACAGAAGCTGGTCTCTTTTACATACATTCTTTTTCTTATCTGCCCATCAAGGATTGTGTATTTATAGACTTCTCAATTACTGCCTATTACCATGATATTTTTATTTCCACCCCTGGTAGTGATATCTATTATAATTGCTGATTGCCTTTCTAAAATTTTCGGATGATTGCCTTATTATTAAGAGTATGTCTTGCCTGAATAATCCAACATTTTCCTCCGTATACCAGGGCTCACATTTAAAAATCTGTCCACCCTGGAATTCCATGACTTCAGATATTTTGCTATTAATCATGATACTTCTATGAATCTATATATTTACCCCAGGATATGAGTCACTAAGTTATATTTGTACTGTAATCACTAGAGCGAGTTTATTTACTTATTTATTCAATACATGTTACTGCGCACCTACTACATGCCAAATATGTAATAAGTGAATGTTGATCTTTGATGAATCTTATGCTTAGCATTGAAAACAGTCATTTGGAAATGTCCTTCCTTGTTTGTGGCTGTCATTTAACGTGTTTGTCAATGATCTTATGATCAGAGTCGCCAAGTGCTGCACATGCGTGGGCCCAAGTCTGTAACCTACATTCTCAGAATTTGCTGTGAGTTCCGGAAGCTTTTTGTGTGTGTTTTTTCCCACACACACAATGTAGGGGGCGAGGGGACTAAGTAAATCAAAGGCTTCCATGGTGTGCATGTCCACGCTATTAATTAGATCCTGTTGAATTCTTCTCTCAAAGGATTTTATTTTTTTAATCATAAGGAAGTTCTCAGTGTCTTGTTCGAAACGTGACTTCTGGCCTTTCGTTATAAAGTTTGTCTTCTCTAAATTATAAATCCCACTTCCTGTAACTGGTGGTAGTAGCCGAGTTCAAGTTTTGATGGCATCTCAGAATCTACTCTTCAACGACCATCACCATCATTAACATATAATTATTATATGTTATATAATAAAATATGCAACTTTATTATAATACTATATAACAATAAGACAGTGATAATGTTATAATATAATAACAACAATAAGCAGAGCTGTTGTTCTGACATTAATCTTGACTGAGCAATATGGTAACTTTGGCATCAGAGAGTCTTTCAAAATGTCAAGCTTTAAAAATTTTTTGAGAACTAAAATGCTGTATATTTTTCAACATTTCCCCCCACACCTCAACTCATCTCCCCAGATTCCCAAGTGTATATCTGGATTCCACTTCACGGGTAAAGTTTATTCTGAGAAACCTACTGGGATTACCTAAAAGGACTCAATTCCATGTCGTATCATTAATTTCTCGCTGCATTACATCGTTGATAAAGTGTACATCATACATTTTTCCGGAAAAGAAACACATACACTCCCTGAGCCATAGCTCAAACCCAGCAGTTTGCAACAGACCTATAATATTCTGTGCTATTTACAAACATAAAATCTCCCATTGCTATAAATCCATGATATTGCCTAGTAACACAGCTTCCAGCATTTTCACTGTTTACCACTAGCCACATAAGCATATCCTTATTTTTTCCAAGTGTGGGCAATAGCCGACCTAACCAAATAAAATATAAAAGTGACTAGAACTATTTTTCCACCGTCTGATTTGAATGTTAGTCTCTGTGGTCTTCCAACAATACCCCTGCGGGTGGTTAAATTTCTCATTTCAATAAAGGGAACTTCCCTCTTGCTCAGTCTCAAAACATGGCACATATTATCATGTTCTGAGTCAGGAACTTTTACAATGAGAGCAAATATTATTTCAGCCTCTCACTTTGCCTTTTAACAAGTCCATCATTATCACTTAATCTTGGAGTTGTCAGCACAGCCTGAGGTTCTGTAGGATTCTAGATGCCTGCTCCTGCTTGTGAAGCCTCCAAATAAAATGGGGTGTGTGATAATGGGTTTCTATGTTCCCAGTTCTCTAGAATTTGGTGTTTAACATCTTAGGGGTTACTTTTGTTCCACAGCAGAGACTTTGCTTCTGGAGCTTTCCTTTCCTGTGCTAATAGCTTAGAAAGTTTGCTAATCTTATGTGTCATTGTTTGTGCTGTGGGGGCTGAGAACTTCAAACCCTCTGATCCTGATACTGCTCTTATCTTGGAGGATAATCTAAAGATCATCCTCTGAAATCAGATCTATCCTTCACCTATTATCTGTATTACTGGAGCTTTCAGATGAAACTGAGCCTACGAAATCCCTGTGGCTTTCGTGGACTTATTCCAAAGAGCTGGTACAGAATAGTTCAAGGGGTCTCAAACTGTTACGTGTCAGAAGCACTTAAGAAGCTTAAAGTAAAAGTGCTTAGAATTCTGTCTCTAGACAGTCTGATGTGGTCGCCTCCAGCGGTATCTGGTCATCTGCAGCTTCAACAAGCTCCCCTGGCGAGCATTACCGTTAGGTGTTTTAGCAAATGTTAGCTCTCAGAAGCTTTTTCTGCTCTGCATGTGTCGGGGTCTCTAGACCCGACTCCAGTGAGTGTGTGGAGGCTTCCCCACCCCAACAAGCAACTCACCCAACACCACAGCAGGGTGCTGGAGAGCTCAATTCAGTTCTGAAACTCTCTACCCAAAGAATGCAACAGAACGCACAGGTTAAGGACTCAGGCTCAAGACCAACCTCCACTTCAGATGCCAGTCTCGAGCCCAGGCTGTTGACTGCTTCTGACTGGCTGCCTACAAATCAGAGGTCCCCACAACCTCCTCCTCAGGCTCCATTAATGTACGTGCTCCTTCCCTTCCCTCCTCCCTCCACTTCCTCCCTCCCTGCCTTCTCCCTTCTTACCTAGATTTATTGAGCCCTTAGAGCTTTGTTTCTTTCAGAAACACCTGACCAGGAAAAGGCATCCTTCGGCTTCTAGAGTTTCAGTGTCTTAGCTGAGGTGAACTTCCTGAGCTGAGAGTACCATGGGCTGGGGACCCTTGGGCGCAGTGACGGAGAAGTCCTCTGGGGCTCTGCTCCTTATTCTGATTGCAGGAGGATTTGGGTGAATCATCTCAAGGAACTTTCTTCTAGTACTTTTCTGGTGATCTCTTAGCCTGAGATTTTGTAACTTTTGCTTCTGGCAGAAGGGTGACAGCTAAAATGGCTTCCAGGAATGGCTATCCCAGGACTTCTGTGACTCTTTTTTTTTTAATTTATTTATGCGTACAACAGCTGGGGTGCAGGCCAGAGATGTGAAGGGTGAGAGGACTCACCAGATACAGAGTGGGGAATAGAACAGGCAGACTGACTGAAATACACTGCTGAGGGGAGCAGCAGGCAAGACAGGGGAGGTCTGCTGCGCCATGTGGGTAGCTCCCTGGCTAGGGATCGAACTGGTGCTGCAGAGGCTGAGGATTGCTTCGTAGTGCGGTGCTCAACCCCTTGCACCACCAGGGAGGCCCCACTTCTGTGACTCTTAAAGGAAGGAGGAGGATCGTGGGCAGGGGGTTGAATGTGCATACACACAGTGGGCAGAGCTGAGAGGGTGTGCTGATACCTCTTTTTATCCCAGTTCTGGATGTCCATCGTGGCCACCACTATGCCCATACCCTGCGGAGGCTTCATGCCTGTGTTTGTGCTAGGTAAGTTCTGATGGGGAGCCTGGGATCTCACTCACAACTGCAATCCAGGGTACCGGGAAAATAAAGAAAGGTCTGGGATGCTGGGATCTTGTATCTGGCTTTATACTCTTGAATCCCCAAGGAGGGATCGGCCCTGAAAATATAGAAGATAAAAAACTTGGATCTCCAACACCTGCCTTCCTTTTGTCTTTCTTCTAGGAGCTGCCTTTGGAAGGCTGGTGGGAGAGATCATGGCCATGATCTTCCCCGATGGCATCTTATTTGATGGCATCATCTACAAGATCCTCCCCGGGGGCTACGCAGTGATTGGTGAGACACATTCCACCGTGCTGTAAACAAACACAGAGTACCTCATCCCCACGCTCAAACTCTCCCATGACATCTTCATGCCAGGCTGAAAAACATGGCCTTGGGTTAATGCTACTTAATTCAATTTTCACTCAAATAATCAAGTATGGGCTCTGACTTTTATTCACTGTCACTGAATTTCTCTGAGCCTTGCTTTCATGATGTGGAAAGAGAAAGATGGGGATGAGATGAGACAAGGATAAAAACATCTAGAATTTTGCGTCTCGATGTCTGCGAAGGGCTTTTTCTTCCTTACAAAGAATCATGGGGGCAACAACACAGGTGACTGGCTTGGGTACTCCCAATCAGCAGGTGTGATCCTGTTGATGGGGACCAGGCTTATCCTGCCACTTGTCACCTGGATGAGCATGAAGCAAGTTAGCTGCCTTTCTGACCCTTAGTTTCTTTCTTCTGACATCTTGCTTTCTTCGGAGATATGTGAGGTAACATTCTGAGTGTCTACAATAACATTTTTTTTCCTAGTAAAATAATTGGCCCCAACCAAAATCCAACCAAAAGCCATGTCTAACCATCTTAGAGGCATGTACAATCTCCAGAACTTTTTTTTTTTAAGATTTATTTATTTATTTATGCAAGCACTGGGTATAGTCAGAAGCGTGGGAGGGTGAGAGAATTCACCAGAGCCAGAGCGGGGAGCAGAGCAGGCAGAAGGACCGAAGGACACTGCTGAGGGGAGCAGCGGGCGGCAGGAGAGGTCTGCGCGCCATGTGGGACCCTCCTCCGGTGGCCGGGGAGCAGCCGGGGATTGAACCGGCGCTGCAGAGGCTGCGGGCAGCTTCACAACCCAGTGCTCAACCGCTGCGCCACCGGGGAGGCCCAATCTCCAGAACTTTTTATGCCTCCTCCTTCCCTCTCCTTTTCACCAAAATCTTGTAGCACCTAAGGTCATGCCACCCTTAGATCTAGGACTGACCAGCTTTACAGCACACGTGGTCAACTTCCTTCCCCATCACATCCTTTATAAACGCCTCTTTAGTCAATAAAAATCATCTGCTCTTATTCCCCATCCTCCTGCTTCTGAGTGTTCCCCCATCCTCCCTGGTGGATACTTCCCAGTATTCAATCTCCCATGATAATTTGTGTGCTGAATTGTGATGAGTATGTTCTCAGGCACACTGTTGCACCATCCAATAGAATCATTCCTCCCTTTTCCTTGTTTCATTTTCCTGTCTGCTTCCCCAGCATCTTTCTCCTATTTCCCCCATATTAAAATAAGAAATATAGCTAACTCACAGGGGACTATTTGGGGTAATGGGAAATTATAACCAAAAATAAGCAAGACAGATTCTGTCTTCAAAGAGCTGATAGAATCATAACATTTTAGATCTTCAAGCATCTTAGAACTCATTTAATCACCCCTTTCCCCTTACCAGTGAGACTTGGGATTCCAGAAGAACTAAGTTCTACTTGAACAGTTGAAAGAAAGTGGAATCGAGTTCTAATGTATCTGGCCTTATACTCTTGGTCCCATTGCTCCAAGTCTGGGCATGAGCCGTGAGTTTCCCCTCTACTCATTCATAAATGGTTGGCATCAAAACCTGAGGTCTAAAGTAAAATGCCATAATCGGGTTTTAAAATGTTCAGTTAAGAATGAGCCAAATTTTCAAAAGCAACGAATAGGTAGGACATCATTATCTTCATTTTATTAATGACAATTTTGGCGCACAGAGATTCTGGGACTTGCTAAAGGTCACAGAATGAGCAAAATGATGATTTCCAAACAGTTCAACATTCTAGCCCCCACTCTTGACTAATGGTTACCATGGGCGTGTTGGCAATGCCAGAGGGTCAGCAGAGTGACCCTGGTCATGCAGCCTTGACCCACTGCTCCTTTCTCACGTCTCGTTCTAGGAGCAGCAGCACTGACCGGCGCAGTGTCCCACACCGTCTCCACAGCCGTGATTTGCTTCGAATTAACGGGTCAGATCGCTCACATCCTCCCCATGATGGTGGCTGTCATCTTGGCCAACATGGTGGCTCAGAGCCTGCAGCCCTCCCTCTATGACAGCATCATCCAGGTCAAGAAGCTTCCCTACCTGCCTGACCTTGGTTGGAACCAGCTCAGGTCAGGACGACCAGCTGCAATTAGTTCAGATGTGATGGGGTGGGGGCAGGAGCCTTGGACATTGAGACTGAGAACAGGGTTCATGTTTGGAAGCACCCCCTTTTATTTCTTTTTATACCCCATGTACTTAACGCATGCTGTGAGTGTCTGACGCCTGACAAACCTCTAGGGAGGACGGAAAGGGGCAGCAAAGGGACGGGTCCCTGGTGGGGCTAAACCCCATGCTTTCTCCCTCCATAGCAAGTACACAATCTTTGTTGAGGACATCATGGTGCGTGACGTGAAGTTTGTTTCAGCTTCTTGCACGTATGGGGAGTTGCAAACCCTGCTGCAGACCACCACAGTCAAGACCTTACCACTGGTTGATTCGAAAGGTCAGTGGCGAGGAAGGAAGCGGCTCTTGAGTCAGTGACTGCACAGGGTTCCATAGAGGTGGGGGCGGGACTGACTGTGACTTGAGCTTGTCCTTAGGGGACACCCAGTCTGCCATGGGACACCCAGCCAGTGTTCCTTAGGGACATACATAATCGTCCTTCAGGTAGGAAAAATACAGCGTTCACACAAGCCCAGGAAGACACTTAAAAATCCAATTAAGGAAATACAGTCATTTCTCATTATTCACAGTTGTGTTCTATAAAGTCAGCACAAACACTGGCCTTGGAATCCTACACCGAGCCACAGCGCTAGGGCAAGTGCAGGGTTAGGGTCCTGCGAGCCGCTGGTCACATTTCCTTCACCTAATCAGTGCATGAACATGCTTTCTGTATGCTTCTTTATAAATATGCCGGATTTAATACATAATGTTGATTCATTATCGTTGAATTCATGCCAACAGCACTTAACGAGCATACATACATATCTTCTCACATCACAGCCTGCTTGGGCTTAGGAACACTAGAAAACACTTTGGGAACTATGCTTGAGGGGGGATTTGAACAACATCATCACTAACTCAAAGCACAAAATTGCAAAACAAAGTGCAATAAAGAGGCGTTTGAAAGAGATGCTTGTTTACAATAGAACAGACAAGAAGGCAGAGGGTCGCCTTGGTCAACCACCGTTGGAAATACAGACCTAGAGTGACTCATAGGTTGTATAGTCCTGCACGTTTCTGGGGATGCTTTGAAAGCTCTGTGAATATTGATTAGGGTTACAAACGTATTTTAGACAGTTGGTGAAATTGCAAGTAGGGAATTATTTGTGAATAATGAGCTTCGGCTGTAAACCTTACAGCCTTTTATATGCTCTCTTCGTTAATTAAATCGTGAAAGTTCCTTTAAAAAAAAAAGATTTATTTATGCTTACAAGAACTGGGGTACAGGCCAGAGTTGTGGTAGTGAGAGGATTCACCAGAGACAGAGTAGGGAACGGAACAGGCAGATTGACTGAAATACACTGCTGAGGGGAGCAGCAGGGAAACAGGAGAGGTCTGCTGTGCCATGTGGGTAGCTCCCTGGCCGGGGATCGAACTCATGCTGCAGAGGCTGCTGACAGCTTCATAGGCTGCATCTTAAGCCCTTATGCCACCAGGGAGGCCCCAATCATGCCTGTTCTTTAGTGCTCGATTTGAGAGGTTGAAATGGTTCCATATGAAGTAGATTGTGATTTTAGTAAACAGTGACTTCATACTTCACTTCCTCCACCATCCTTTTTGGGCACCGCTGACACTTCATCATGCTTTGTAGTGTTCCTTTTTACAGCGCATACGCACATACACATATATGCCTTGTCTTCCTCACCAGACTGGCAGCCTTTGAGAATAGATACTCCAACTCCCATCGCCCTCAGGCTGCCTCCTTATTGGTATTCATTAGATAATAAATAAATACTTGCATAATGTTTGAATTTATGTAACAAAGAAGAATCTTACAGGGCCACATGGAGCCATTAAAATGGTTGGTTCTGATTTCAGATCATCAGAGTATCCAAATGGCTCATGTTCTATTAGCTCTAATATTTCCCCTAGTCCCAAATTCCTTCTAAGTGACCTCTAAAGCCATGGCTCTTTGCTGGAGCAGGGGAACAGCCAATGACGTGTCCAGAGTTTTCCTACTAATGACTGAGATGTAAGGCAGATTTATCTCAATAACACTGCTGCAATTTTATAGCCTTAAAATTTAATGAAAATGTTAATTATAGTAGCAGCATTTCAATAAAGATATGAAAGACCTTCCCAGGAAAGGCAGCATTTGGCTTGTATCCTGGAAGGACCCAGATTCTTCCAATGATTAAACATCAGATGTCCTTATAGACTTCTGGTGTGTTCACATCTGAGCCTGTCTAAAAGGCTTTGAAAGTTTTTTCTTTTTTTTTTGGACGAGGTTGATTAACTTATTTTAGTACCACGTTCACCGATTTGCACACAGGCTATATAAGAGCTGCATCAAAATAAGCCCAAGTTAGCACCAATTAGTGTCCTGTCATCTGGGTCTCCAAGTGCTAAATGGGTGAAATGAAAGGGATTGAGTGAGGTCAATCCTGGAAGGTTTTTGAAATGAATTTTTAGGAAGAGAGGCAAAAGCTGAAAAAAGAAACGAGGGGTAGAGACTCTGCACCCGAGCGAGCAAGCGAGCGTCCTGCTGAGCGCGCAGGGCTGGGGGCATTCAGCAGACCCTCAGGCTGAGCTTGGGGCGCCCCCCTCCCCCCCAGACTCGATGACCCTGCTGGGCTCCGTGGAGCGGTCGGAGCTGCAGGCCCTGCTGCAGCGCCACCTGAGCCCCGAGCGCAGGCTGCTGGCCGCCCGGGACCTGGCGCGCAAGCTGTCGGAGCTGCCCTACGACGGGAAGGCGCGGCCGGCGGGGGAGGCGCATCTGGGCCTCTGGCCCCAGGGCCGCCGCGAGTCGTTCGCCTTCGTGGACGAGGATGCAGACGAGGACCTCTCGGGGAAGCCCGAGGTGACCGCACGGGGAAGGCGGGGGACTGGCCAGACCCCGGCTCGGGAAAAGCGGGAAGAGGGAGAGGCGCCGGCGAGGGCGCACAAAGCCGGGCCCCCCGGATCTGGTGCCCACGGGCCGGGCGCCCTGGAGCCAGGAACAGGCCATAGGGCTGCGGGGGATGGTTGCCCTGCGGATTCAAGGGACGCAGGAGCTGTGGACTGGGGAGGAAGAGGAAGGCTGGATGGGTTCCCAAGTTCCCAAGACCTGCTGGAAAAGGCGGGAAAGCCGGAGGCAGCGCCCCTCCCTGACCGGCTCTCCTGTTCTCGGGTCCCCAGGCCTCACAGCCGCCCCCTCCCGCGCCTGCTCACGCCTCTCCCACCGCCTCGCTGCCTCCAGAAGAGCCCAACGGGCCCCTGGCCGGTCACAAACAGCAGCCAGAGGGCCCCGAGCCTGCAGGTGAAGATTTTGCCTTTATGCCCCCTGCCTTGGGGGTTCTCTCTGGCTCTCCCCAGCCTCAGGGAGGGGTGAGGCTAAGGGGTGGTTGGAGGGGGAGGGAATCCTTTTCCTTGCGTGTTCGTATTGCCCAAGGAGCTGGGCCAGGGCTGGTTAGGAGCTGGAAGAGGGGCTGCCTTGGAGGGGGCACCTGGGAAGAACAGGTACCACCGGGGAGCCCCCACACCTCGCCTTTCCTCTCAGGACGCACACAATTTTGTTTCTGTTTCCTTCCACTCACCGCTACATTCAGGTCAAAGACCCTCAGTCTTTCGGTCCCTGCTGCGCTGCCTGCTGGGCAGACCTCGGCCTCCGAAGAAGAAAGCCGCCCAGGTGACCAGGCTGCTGGGGAGCGGGTGGCAGGGACGGGGCTTGCCCTTGAGGAGTGAAGAACCATGGGCCTTGAGTGAGAAGGGAAGGGACCTCGCCCAGGAGGGAGAGTTTCGCCAGCTGGGAGGGGTGATTGGCCCCAAAGCCTGCATGTGTGGGGAGGGGCTTCGTGGCTGATGGGACACAGCTGCTGTGGGACCAAGGGAAAGACCTCGAACTATGTCTGTCTTCTCTAGGATTCAACGACTTTGGTGGATAACATGTCACCTGAAGAAGTAAGTAAAGGAAATCGCAGCCCCGGGGCGGATGGTTCTGCCCCATCAAGACATTGCTCATTTTTTTTTAACTTCTTTATTGGCCTAAGGATAGACGCGAGTCCAGGCGGGAGAGCATTTTCAGATTTGGGAAGAGGTGATTATGGAGAAAGGGTCAGGTGCCTTGCTTTAGAGGTGGGGCCCCACCGTGGACTCCGGAGGGACCATCATCATTTCAGAAGAGAAAGTTTTCAGGCTCCATGTGCAAATGGGATCGTGGTGCTGAGACGAGCCTTCGCTCTTGTAGATACTGGGGATGTTCTGGCCCTAGGCAAAGGAGATACAGGCAGGATGAGCTTTACCAGAAGAGAGATGGTACTGACAGCTAGCGTGCACACATCAGAGGAGGGGTGGAGAGTAACAGTGAGAAGGAGACGTTTAGCCTTCCACGGGCACCTCCCTCAAAACACACACTTCTGACAAATGACTTATGGAAAAGTTGAACAGGTGATTGCAGAATGAAAAGGAATTCTCTTCCCCCTGCCTGCAAGCAGGCCTCAGATGGGGCATCCCTGTCGTGAAGGGTGCCTTGCTACGATGCACAAAGCAGTGATGATACTTGTTGAAGAAACAAGTAAAGGTGTTCCCCCACCTCTAAAGCAAGGCGCCTGACCCTCTCTATATTCCAGATAGAAAGTCAGCTAGTTGGTTGGTATTTCATGACTACTGGAAATAAAGTGCCAACCAGAGATGATAAGAAAATTCTAAGTTTTAGCTTATGTCTTTCCCAAGGAAGATTATAGGGAGCTACTAGCAGCCATGTGACCCACTGAGATGTTTTGGAGGGATAGGATCCGGTGGAGTCACATTTCAGGTTATCTTGAAGGTTGTTTGCAAACTACATAGATGACACCATGGAGATAGTGAAGGAATTCAGTTACAGGTTGCAGGAGTCCCCACAGGTGGCTTAGGACCCACAGCCAGAGCTCTGATTGTAACTGGTGCATGCAGTGGGATACGTTAGACCCAAGAGCAGACCCCCTCCTCGCTTGGGACAAAAGCTGGGGTTGGGGGCTGGCACACAACCAGCAGTCAAGGTCAGAATTCTAGGTCCAGCTCTGTGTGATTTGGGGTGAACTTCTTAAGCATCCTGTGCCTCTGTGTAGTCATTTGTGAGATGGATGTAATGGCAAATGTAGTCATTTGGCGGAGAGGATTAAATGAGTGAAGACACTAAGAGCAATTAGACCACAGAGCAAGTGCTGGGGATGTGTGGACTGGAAATGGGTCTGTTGTGGTTGGTTCTGACAGGAAGGCAAACTTGGAAGGGTGGAAAGCAGGAAACAGAGAAAGACCAGGAGGACAGGACTGGCCAAGGTAGTGGAAGTCTAGCCCCTCATCCTATAAATCAGTTGTCTCTACAACACCCCTGCTGAGTGGTCATCTGTCCTGTGCTGTGTGAACCACTTGTCAGGGAAGGAGAGGGCACAGAGGAGTGTGACTGCAGTCCAGAAAAATCAGGAAGGGACAGATGGAGAGTATGCCACTGTGCAGTAAACATTGGACCCGGGGATGGTCTCCACCGATAGCCTCTGAAGCTTGAGGGGTGTAGATTTGAATACATTAAAAAACAAGTCAATTAGTACATCGTTCAGAAGGTAATAACAAGAGATTTCAGAGAAATTTAGGCTCATTTATCAAAGCCAGATCTCTACTGGATTACGTGGAGTCTGGGGGATTTCAGCATGTGTGCCAAAATCAAGTTGGTCTCTGCACCGTAATGATTTTGTCATATACAAAACGAAACCAACGAAAGCAATTTTGCTCAAGTCCATGAAGGTCGACAATCTAGTGGTCCAGTGCAGCTCTTCAAATTGATCATATTCGCTGTGATCTACATGTGAAAGGCAAGTGTACTAGCTGCTTCCCAGCGCACAGGTATCCATACCTTGTCATATGCTCGAGAAGTTCACGTCCTGTGGGCAGACGTAAGACAAATGCCAGTACAAGAAAGACAAATGCCAGTATAAGAGTGAGCGAGATCCATGGCACTTCTGCAAGGGAGAGAGCTGCAAAGTACTGTAGGAATTGACCCAGGGGCAAGAGCACACTTGCCTGGGGTGGCAGGAATACAATGTGTCTGTGGGGGGTCGGTGAGAGGGGGCAGGTGGATGCCCTTCAAGGAAATGCAAACCACAAGGACAGGGGCACAAAGGCAAGTCTGAGGAGCCCAAAGCTGTTGGGTTCCTCCAGAGTCATGGGTGTGGCAGAGTCCTGGAAAGAAAGGCTGAAAGATGGCTTGGAAATAAGTGTTTGGAGTGCCAGGTGCAGGAGAGAGTGGTGTTCTGTGGGCTCCAGGTGAAGGTTGATTTGGGGCCAGATGAGGGAGGGAAGGTGAGGTCCCACCCACTGGGAAGAAGGGAGGTCTAAGGATCTGGAGGGTCCTGGGGAGTCCATTGCACATTTCTGGACTCCGGGTGGGAGGGTAGGGTAGGCAGGAGGGCTGTGTGGGCTCCAAGCCGTGTAGCTGAGGTTGAAAGAGCTCCATGAAGATGTTGGGTCACTGCCCTGCTCTGCCCACAGATTGAAGCCTGGGAGCAGGAGCAGCTGAGCCAGCCCGTCTGTTTTGACTGCTGCTGTATTGATCAGTCCCCCTTCCAGCTGGTGGAGCAGACATCCCTGCACAAGGCACGTCCTTGCCTACCACTCAGTGCTTCATTCGGGGGAGCAGGGGAGGCGTGAGACCAGACCACTCACCTGCCGTCTTTCCTCGCAGACTCACACACTGTTCTCACTCCTGGGCCTCCACCTGGCTTACGTGACCAGTATGGGCAAGCTCAGGGGCGTGCTGGCGTTGGAGGAGGTAATAGCGATGTGTCCCCTCGAGCACCAAGAGGAAGGGTAGACGTGGGGAAGGAATGGCTTGACCCCCGAATGTCCCTCTCTGTTTCTCATACAGAGATTGCAGGGGGGCACAAGGGGTGCAGCAGGTAGAAGACAGAGGACTGCAAAGTCTATGGGCAGACGTGGTCCCCCAGGGATGGCATGGGTTTGGGATGAGAGTGGGGCATGAGTATTGGTCTTGCTGAAGTACCCTATGGGGAGGGTGTGGAGAGAGAGAAGAGAGGGGCATGGCTGAAGGAAGCCTGGCGTTCAGGGGAGTTGAGCTTTGATGCTCCGCGGGTAAGCCCCTGGCCACACCTCCGCTTTCCTTCCACGCTGTCTTTCTTGCAGGTTTCCTTTCCCTTCCTCTCTCCTCTCATTGTCTGTTTTCCTCACAGTTTTGTCATGTCTTCCCAATTTCATGCTCTCCTTTCCCCACTCCCCAGCTCCAGAAGGCCATTGAGGGCCACACCAAGTCTGGGGTGCAGCTCCGCCCTCCCCTTGCCAGCTTCCGGAACACAACTTCAATCCGAAAGAACCCGGGGAGCGCCCCTCCTCCTGCAGAAGCCTGGGGCCTGCCTGAGGGTGGAACTGAGGCTGCTGGAGCGGAAGAGGTAGCTCCTGCCTCCCCAGTGTCCCCGCCATCCCCAGAGCCCCCTGGGTCCCTGCCTCCGGCCAAGGCGCAGGGGGAGCTGGAGGAGCTGGAGCTGGTGGAAGGCCCGGGGCCAGAAGAGGAGTTGGCTGACATCTTGCAGGGCCCCAGTCTGCGGTCCACAGATGAGGAGGACGAGGAGGAGCTGATCCTTTGACACTCCCCGGGACCTCCTCATGGACTGCCGAGACCCCTGGCCAGAGAGGGGCTTTGTGTGGACAGAGCACGTCCTGAAGAGACCAGCAGCCCAGCCCTCTCTGGGAATGTGATAATCTTAGAGGAGTGGAGTCTGGGTAGGATCAATTATCCAGGCCGCTGCTCCCCACCCCCAGGCAGGCAGGTGGGTCTGAGGTGAAGGGCCTTGGTATTCTGTGGGTTTCCTGAGGGCTCCTGCTGGGTGGTAGGAACACTGCCTCCCCACCCCTCCCCCTGTGGCTCCCCAGGACTCTCATCCCAGCACTTTCCTGGCCTTGCCCAGATTCCGCCCCTCAGTGTCCACAGCAGTGGTGGTGGGAGGCCCGGATGGCTGGCCCTGTGCGTGCCATAGTACAAGAGACGGGAGTGCCTTGTGGCCTGGCTCACGAGCAGCCCCCTGCCCCTCCTCCCGGACTCCCCCCACATGCTCCCTCCTGCTCATGTCCTCTCCCTGAAATTTGCCTCCAGGCCCCATTGGGGTGTCTCATGTCTGTTCCGAGGCAAAGGGCCTCGAAAGGCCCATCCTATTTCCCCTCCTTGGTCCAATTTAAGCAGTGAAATGTGAATAAAAAGACCACCCTGGACGTGACCTAGAAGAGAGGTCAGAAGCTTCCCTGCAGAAGGTGCCTTTGCCCCCCTCAGCCATGCTGCCCACCCTGTCCCAGAGGCTCCGCCAGAAACCCCTATCACCCTGTGCCCCCACACCCTCCGGTTCCCAGGTCACTGCCCAGAAAACCGCTCCTCTCTCCCCACTGCAATCACCGCCTGCCCTGCCCAGCAGCCAGCTCTGCCTGCAGCAAACCTGCTCAGGCTTCTCCACCAAGAACCAAGACCCAAGGCAGCCAGGCCACTGGCTCACCCGGACCCCGGCCCTTCGTTGGCTAGCTCTTGGGGGTTCACTATCCAGGAAGCAGACCAGCTTGATGATCCTCCCCTTGGGAAACTCAGATCCTCATCCTCCCAAACGAGCCCCAGGGCGCCTGCCATTAGCCCACAGGCTCCTAAGCTGCCCCAGTGCCACGAGCCCCTGGGCCTGCACCCAGGGCCTTTCTCTTCACTCCTCTCATGCCTGGCTTAGCCATACCACCCCCCCACTGTCCCTTCCCCTCCCCTGTGTCCAGTGTCTTTCATCCCCCAAATAAGACGCTCACAGCAAGGGATGCTACCACATTGTTTATGCTGCAGCTCGCAGCCCACAGCCTGCTCCAACAGGACCCACCCCAGCCCGAGAGAGAGGCTGAGGCCTGGGGAGGCGCTGGCAGTGGGCATTCGAGCCCGTGCCCACCTGTATATAATCTATAATAATCGTATTTATATATCATTCTCTCTGTAATATATGTCATAGAGTCTCTCTTGGGCCTGGGGTGGGGGTGTCACATTGAGAAAACATGCGAAGACTGGCCATACAAAGGCTGTCCCCCACACCTGAGTATGGGGGTGTAGAGGTGGGGGCCGGGCGAGGGGAATAAACTCATTCACCGAAGAGTCCCTCCTTCTCACAGAGATAAGAAGGAAGGTGAGGGGGTGAGGTGGGGGCAATGGAAGGGGAGGAATTGGAGATTCGGATTTTCTTTTAATAAAGTAAATTGAAAATGATAGTGCCCCCCCCAAAAGAAAATCATTTAGCAAGAGCAGGTTCATTGACAGTAGAAACACAGCCCCGTCTGGGACTGTTGAAATACGTGCTGCACAGCCTGTCACCCCAGAGGAGAAGCAGCCCCCCACCCCCCACAGCCTCTTCCTGTACATGCCCCTCCCCTCCCCCTAAAATAGGCTATAAGCGAACCCCATGCGCCCTGCCCCCAGCACCAGAGAGGCGGTTCCTCCAGAAGAGCCCTAAAAGGCTCCCAAGCCAGCTCCCTCTCCTGTGGAAGGGGGGGTTCCTTGCATAATGCAGACCCCACCTGGCCTCTGTTCTGTGGAGGCTGGCACCCTGGGGATGGCAGCCTGCGCTGGCCAGTGACCTCTACCACATGCCTTCCGCTTTCTTGCCTTTCTGCAGGACCCCGTGGCTTCCTGGGGAAGGCAGGGAGAGGAAAAAGGAGGGAGAGAGGAGAGCTGCTTCCTTAACTCCAGGGCCCTGAGCAAAAGGAACTATAATGAGCGAACCCACTCGTGGGCTGGAAGATGGGGCACGAAGGGTGTTAAGACTAAGACGAAATGAGGCTATGTGGGGAGAACAGGTGGGCAAGGCAAGGGCGCAGGGACCCCAGGGGAGGAGGGCGAAACTCCAGGGGCCGAGGCAGCTGTCCAGGGCCAGGGTCAGCAGCTGGAAGGAGGGGGTGCCAGCTGGCTCCCGGGGGCTCCTGGAAGTCTGGGGCCTCCAGAGTTGGGCCACGGGCTCGATCACAGCGCCAGATTCACAGAGACGGCTTCAGAGCAGGGAAGTGACTCTCCACCCGCCTCACTGCGTCTGCTCCACGTCACCCCCAAGAACCGACCCCTTGGCAGCCATTGTCCCTCCTCAGGAAGACCTGGGGCCCTGCCTCGGTTGTGTTCAGTGTCATGCACAGTGCATGTCAGTGTGACCTCGAGGTGGGGAGCAGGGTCACAGATGGAGACGACCACCCCCAACTCTCAACCTCTTTGTTCCAAAGCAGCAGCAGTCTGGGGCCTAGAAGAGGGGGTGAGTTTGCGCCCAGGGTCTGGAAGAGGGCGAGAGTGCTCCCTTCCAGCAAAGGACGAAGCAATGACCCCTGACAAAGTGTGGGTAGGACAGAGACCTGGGGCCTGGAGCCTCGGGCATGCACAAGAAATGAGGGAAGGCGGGGCCAATGAACCCTTTGGCTCCAGTTTCCCCCGATTCTCCCCATGCCCAGGGCTAGCGAGGGGGTACCCCTGCAGCAGCGTGCTGGCCTGCTCACCCCCAATCCCCTGCCTGCCGTCAGGATCTCTTAGGGAACTGTTGCACTTTCACATACTGCAGAGAAGTCCCCGCCAGAATGGACACAGGGTGTGGGGGACCAGCAGTGTCAGGAGCTTATGCCTCACTGTCCCTCGTTCTGGAAGGAAGCATGCTCATCCCCGTCGCTCCCCTGCAGGAGCCTGGGGCGGGGGGGTCTCCCAGGAGAAGCTAAAGGAGGGGCGTAAGCGCCGATGCCCGCGTTGCCCCTCAGCACACGACCCACCCGGGCCAGGCCTGGCAGCACCGACTCCTCCCTCCACCCCGCTCAACCCTGAGTCCCCAAGAAGTTATAAAAATGTAGAAAAGGCAAAGAGAAAAGTGTAAACAGCTCCAGAGAATTGGGGGGCAAGGTATGGAGGGAGACACAACACTCATGATCCCCTTTGGCCGGAACACACGCCTTCCATGTCACCCCTCGGGGGCCTGGGGCTCCGCAGCAGGGGGAGGAAGAAGGCAGAAAAAAGAAACGGAACTGGAGGAGCCAGCCCCAGCCGGGTCCTTCCCCGCAGACTCAGCATCCTCCATTCAGCCCTGGAGGCTGGAGATCCCGCAACAAGCGGCCATGTTTGGCCTTGGCCTGAGCAGTGCCTTTCCAGCCTCTGGACAGGCCTCCGAGGACAGCATCACCTTTGCGCCCCCGCCTCGCGGCCACACGCCGTGGCTCAGAACGCAGAAGCCAAGTGACCCTCAGAGGGCAGCCTCAACACCCCCGAGGGAGACGTGGCCTCCCCTGAGCCGTCAGGCCAGGTCCAACAGGCCCTGAGGTCTGTTCCTCGCTGGAGATGAGTGGGGGCCACCGGCAGAGAAAACAGAGCCGGGAAAAGCAAGAGTGACATGGAGGAAGGAGGCATTCGGACAGCCACAGGCAAGGCTCCTGGAAGACAAAATCAGGGAGAGAGGAACTGAGATCCAGTCGACGGCCACCTGCATCTCAGGACACATGCGGAGCTCCGTCCTCGCAGGCCCCGGAGCCCGCAGCCAAGCCACGTCCACAGCCACCCAGGGGCCCGGCTCTCAGTTCCGGACCCGTGGCTCCTTGGGCGGGAGCCTGGGGGACGTCCGTCCTGGCCCGGCTTCCTGGCGAGGACTGGCAGCCCAGTCTCGGCTGTGCTGCTGGGGCGGGCGGGTGCTGCTGCAGCCATCCCCTCCGCGGGGAGTGGAAGGCAGGGCGTGCGCGGAGGAAGCTAGTTGTTGGCCTCACCCTCCTCCTCGTCAAAGGACTGCACACCTGAGGATGTGACGTCAGACACCTTCCGGCTGAGAGCAGTGGACATCTCGGGGTCTTCTCGCGGCGAGAGGGACTCCAGGTCCCTGCATCCTGCGTCCTCCTCTTCCTCGGGGGCCAAGGGCCTCTTCTCCTCCTCGGAAGCGCCCCTGGCCAGGTCCACCTCGCCCACCCCCGGAGCCCAGTCAGTGTCTCCCCCCAGCAAAGGCGGAGGCTCCTGAGTAGAGTATCCCGAGGCAGGGTGGGAAGGTCCCATCTCGTGCAAGCTCGGCTGCGAGTCATCAAATGCAGGGCCAAGATAGGATCCTGTGGCGGGAGAGGCAATGAGGGACTGGTCGCTCGCTTCCCAGGCGTCCGAGGACCCCAGACAGTACATGCCCTGGGACACGTAGGAGTGAGGCCATCCGTCCATGGGTCCTTGAGCCAGGGCATCTGTAAAGAGAATCATGACGGTCAGGGGCGTGCACAGAAGAGCCAAGGCAGGACCCCCAGCGCAGAGAACTAGGGGGTCGACACAGAGGAAGGACGGTTTAGAAGAGGAGTGGACAGAAGGTCTCGGGACAGAGATGAGTGGAGGGATCATATGTGGATGGGGCGGTCTCTCAGCCTTCAGGGTTGGATTCTGGAACCATCCCTCACCCTGACTCTCCATCAGCTCCTGGTAGTTGTCGCTGTAGTTGCAGCCCAGCGGCTCCTGGGTGGAGTTGACACTCATGTCCTCGCCATCCATGGAAGACCAGGCCATGAGCGTGGCCTCGGAGATGGCAAACTGCTCCATGACTCCTGGGAGGAGAAAGACAGTTACCACAAGGTACCCTGGGGGGCCCTTGGCGGCACTGGGGTGCGGGGACAGTGTGGTGCTGTTCAATAGAAAAAGGAAGAAGTCACCTATGCAATTTTAAATTTTCAAGTAGCCATATTAAAGGAAACAAAAAGTCGGTGAAATTAATTTTTTAAATATCTTATGTTAACTCAATATGTAAAAAGATGCTCAATTCAGCATAGAACCGATGTAAAAGGTAATGAGATATTTTACATTCTTTTCTTCACAGAAAAAGTCTTTGAAATCAGCTGCTGGCTATAGGTACAGCAAGCACAACTCCATTCAGACCAGTCACACGTCAAGTTCTCAGTAGCCACCTGTGGCCAGTGGCGACTGTACTGGACAACACAGTCCTTGCATATTCCCAGAAACAAGGAAAAATCCTGGGGGACTTCCCAGAGGCCAGATTTAGGGTCTTCCGGTGAGACGGACTAAGGGATTGAAGTTAGGGACTTCCAGAAATTTGCCTTTGGCAGTTTCTAGGAATGGTAGCCACTGCTAGGCCATCAAGGACAGACTCTAGACTGGGGGGCGGTGGTGAGAGGCAGGCGCAAGGTCAACCGAGCATCTTCAAAGGAGCATCATGGGATCGTGGGTCCACACTAATATGGAAAGTTGAAGAGATTCACAGGAGGGGAAGAGGAGAGAATAGTGAGGGTGGGTAGATCTGGAGGCTCCTGTTCGAGCAAAGCAGGTTGACTCTTACTTTGCCGGCTGCCTACCCCCATGTTTGTCTCCCCTCCCCACTGAGGACCGCTCCCCTCCCCTCTCTCAGACCCCCCACGCTCCCCAGCTGTCTTGTTGAGACCTGCCACTAGGGTCTGGCCACCGTGTGGGTGCATGAGTGCCTTCTACCTGTGGGTTCCTGGGACGGGGCCTCTTCTACCCGCCACCCTTCCTCACCCAGGAGCCTTGGCTCGTATCTGTCATGAGAGAACTGAGCCCAGGAAGTGAATCCAAGACTACTTGGTGCAAGGACAGAGGAGGAAGGGACCCCAAGGCCTGCCTTTTTTTCCCCTGATGAAACACCAGTGCAAGTCCAAGAAGTCCTTCCCCAGCCCAAGGTCTGGCCTGAAGGAGGCCAGGGTTGGACAGCCCCGTAGGCAGGAGAGAAGGCATGCGGGACAGGGGGGCCCTCAACCCCGTGTAGTTCTCCCCGGTTTCTCAGATGATAATAAAAGTAAGTTTGAGGACTCGTATCAGGATGCCCAGTTCAAAGTACTTGAAATTGGAGCTGACTGGGCAGTAAAGCCCAGGGGTCGTGGTGTGGGCAGACACACCCTGCCATTGGGGGTGGGGCAGCCTCTGGTCATCCCACAGCCGTGTCTCCCGAGGGTCCAGGGAACAAGTACCTGCCAGGAAGCGCGCCTCCTTCTCGCCGTCGCTGAGGTCCGAGTAGGCATCCGTGTCCCTGCGCACAGCTTCGTGGCTGTGCTGCGGCTGAATGGCAGGGGCCTTCCCCCAGCCCTGCCACTCGATCATGTGTGCCACCCGGCCTTGCCCCATGGCAGTAGGCTTCGTCACGTGGTCCTTCATGCTCCTCGAAATCCCTGAGGGGCCAGACATTACCACATCCTCCAGAACAGGTTCAACGCCCACCCCATGCGCCCCCTACACACCCACCCAGGCCCCAGGGGACGCCATCCCAGCAGGGCAGGTGTGCCCTAGGACTCCACGTGGGGGGCAGCCAGGAGATGGGCATGGCAGGCAGAAGGGCAAACAGGTCAGGGGTACAGAGATGAGGGTCTTCTTCAGGCCTGAGGAGCAGGGAGGCTCCTGTCTGGATGGTGCCTGGAGCAGGAGGCTCACCTGAGAATGATGACTTGGCCAGGGCTCCGATGCCGTAGGCGTTGGAGTTCCGCTTAAGCTTCGGGAGAATGGAAGTGGTGTCCTCCATGGAGAGCTGGGGGAGCGGACACAGGAGGAGAGGGAGAGGACTAAGAGGGTTCAGAGCGCTTTACATGTGGAGAGTGCTTGATCTCGGGGGAGGACACGCCAGGGCCGGTGACAGGAAAAGCATTACACGCCGGAGTCCCTACCCCCCACCCTAGGAAAGGTGGAGGTAGACAGAGAGCCTGAGGCCCTCCATGCCTGCTGGAGGCTGGGAGCACTGGGCTCTATGGACAGGCTGAGGGAGAATATAAAGAAGAGAATCCGGGGGGCTGGGCAGGTGTGGGGGTGCTGCACTCACATTGATGCCATCCCAGGAGAAATCCGTTCGGGTTTGCTGTGAGGGGAGAGGAAAAGAAGCGGGTGTCTTGCAATTTCTAGGAATGCAAGTACTCCCCCCAATTCCTCAGAGGGGCTTCTGGAAGGCCGTGAAGTGGGGTGCATTGCCCCGAGATTACGGGGTTACAGCAGCTGGCACCCCGAGCAAAGGCCAAATGTCCTGTGAGAGTGTGGGTCTGAGGGAGCCAGCAGGAGTGGCCTGTGAGTTGGGACGCTAACTCAAGTCTCGGGCAGTGGGGAGGCTGTGGTTGCGGGGTCCTGGAGTCTTTGGGTAGAGGGGGGTCTCACCTCCGTGGACGGCCGGTGGAGGCTGCTGCCGTGCAGCGAGCTGGTGCTGTCCATGTTGATTTGGTCAACATCCTTCAGGCCCTTCCAGTCCACGGCCATCACCTCGTTCCCTGAAGTGGCCAGAGGTTAGTTGCTCCACCTTCAGCTCCCTTCACCCCACTCACAGGAGGGGGTCAGCCCTGCCAGATGCAACTCTTCCCTTTGCTCAAGCTACCTCTCCTCCTCCTGACAGCCCCCCTGTCCTTTTGCACCCCATCTCTCCCCCAGCTGCTGGTAAGAAGAACAATCACGCTGCACCAAAAGATTCCATTTGTGCTCAAGCAAGAATAGCACGCGGGGAAAAGTGTTCTACGCCTTATTTGTTGTGGTGGTTTAAATGGACGGGTCAGTGGCTGGAAAGATGTCCACGCTGTCCTGAGGGACCTCAAGGCTTCTAAGTGGGAGTGTGTGGCAGAAGCATCTAGCAGGTTTCTACAAACAACAAACAAGAGCAGGGCCTCACCAGGGGAAGCTTCCCCAGGTGTGGGCTTGTGTTTGGGGGGCAGGAGGGGGGCACTGTATCTTCCTGCCGGACCCTCCAGACACCCTCCAGACTGGAAGGGGATCGGTTAGCAGCCCAGAGGCAGGTTGGGACTGTTCCCCCAGAGGCAGCAAGAAGAGGGATGGTTTTCCCCAATTGTGGGGACACGAGAGATGGATCAAAGCGAGGACAGCAGAACCCAACAGGAGGGGCCAGGGGCCCTTTTTAAATAGGAACAGAAAGAATGGGGGTTCAAGTCAAGAAGACCAAAGGCAACGGAAAAGCAGGGGTGGGCGGGATTCAGGGGCTGGCGAGGGAGCTGCAGGCCTAGGGGATGGCAATTTTAAGGTGAGGGAGGCCCCCCTGGAGGACCCGGGCAGAGCCACCCGGGAGGCTGTGGCCGGCTCCCAGCGGGCCAGCTGACCCGGCTCACCCTTTCTGCAGAAAGTTGTGGGGTTCTGCATTTAGGCTAGGGGCCTCCTCCTGAGAAGGGGGGCGCTGAGCGGCGCGGGGTGGGGGCATGAGGAGGTCCACAGCAGCAGCCACACAGCACCAGGCAGGCAGGAGGGTGGGCCCCGCCAAAGTGGGTCGCTTCTACCTCGGGGCACCTGGGGAGCCAGAGGCGGGTCAGGCCCAAGGCGGCGGCTGGCAGAAGGGGGGAGCCGGCCCCCCGGGCCTTGGGAGCAGGCGTGGGGCAGGCAGAGAACATCTCCAAGAGGGAGGGGGGAGCGCAGAGCGGTTGAAAGGCGAGGGAGGGGAGGTGGCCTTTGTAGAAGAGGGAGAGCTGAGTCAGAGCCGTGGGGGGCAGGGAGGGGAGGGAGCGAGAACCCGGCGCGAGGGGAGCGCAGGGGGCGGGGGTAGCCATGGAAATCGATCGGGTCTCCGAGAAATCAGGCTTCCGGAGAGAGAGTTTGTTTGGAATAATAACACGAATTATTCTCTCAGCCTGAGGTCACTGGGGCGTGTGGGCGGGAGAAGCTGGGAGTTAGAATGGCAGAAATCGGGGGGCTGGGGAGGGGCCGGATTGATGTGCCGCGCTGGGAGCGGGGTGGGTGCCTGGGATGGGGTGAAGGGGGCGGCAGCCGGGCGGAGCGCAGGGCAGCAGCCGGCCGGGGAGGCGCCTCCTCCCTCCCCCAGTGAAAGGTAAATAAAGAGGCGGCCCCGCCCCGCCGGCCCCCGCTGACAGGTGCCGGCAGGTCCCGGGGCTCCCGCGCCCCGCGCGCCCCACCCTCCCGGGAGCGGGCGCGGAGCCCCCCGCCGCGCTGTCCCCCGCCCGCGCCCCGGGGACCCCGCTCGGCGCCCCCCTCAGTCCGCCCGGCCCGGGGCCCTCGGGGCCAGCACCCCGCGCGCCCCGAGGCCCGGCTCGGCCGCCCCCGCCGGGGGCCGCGCACGTGAACAAAGCCGCGGGGAGGCCGGCGCCGGGCACGGGCGCGAGAAGGGGCCGAGCCCGAGGCCCGGGCGCGCGGGGAGGCTGGGGGCGCGGGAGGGGCGCGGGGCCGAGCCCCGGGCCGGGTCCCAAGCTGGGGGCGCGGGGCGCAGGGCCCGGGGCCGGGGGACGCGGCGGGGACGCTGGGGCGCGGGGCCGCGCGGGGGGACGCCGGCCGGAGCCGGGGCGCGCCGAGGGAGCGCGCGGGGCCGGCGGGAGGCCGCCCGGGGGCGCCGCGGGGCGCGGGGGCCGGGGGCGCGGGGCCGGGGCGCGCGGGCCGGGGCGCCGGGGCGCGGCGGGAGGCGGGGCGCGGGCGCGGTACCCACCCACGGTCCGGGAGCCGATGCAGCCCATGGCTCGGGCCTCCGGGGCCGGCGCTCACCGCCGCGGGGCGCGCGCCGGGGGGAGCGCCGGGAGCCGCGCCGCCGCCCCAGCCGCTCTGCAGCGCCGCGGCCGTCTCCGCTCGGCTCGGCTCCCCGCCCCTCGCCATCCCTGCGCGGCCGCCGCGCCCGGCTCCCCCGCCCGGCTCCGCTCGGCTCCCGGCGGCGGGGAGGGGGCGGCCCGGCGATTGGCTGCGCGCGGCGCCTCCCCGCCCGGCCCCCGGCCCGCCGCGCGCTCCCCGCACCCCGCGCCGCGCCGCGCTCCCCTGGGGGGCCGGGCCGGCCGCGCCGCCTTCCGCGCCCGCCCGGGGACGGCCCCCTGCGGGGGCTCCCCGGGGGCGGGGGGGCCGGCGGAGACGCGGAGGCTGGCGACCCGGGGTCTCAGGAACCCGGTCGAGGACCCAGCCCCCCGGCTTCGGCTCTGGTTGGTCCATTTAAAGGGTCGGGGCCGGAGGAGCCGGAGAGAGAGCGGGGTGCGCGGGGTGGGGACGAAGCCTGGACGCACGTCCCGCAAACGCGCACCCCTCCCCGGGCCGCTCCCGGGACTCGCGGACACGCGGCTCTGCGCCCCCGCGGGCCCGGCCCCCCAGCTGACCGCCGGCCCCGGCGAGGGGACCCGGCTTCACGCGGCCCGGCGTCGGCGCGCGCGGGGATTCGGGCTCGGTGCGGGGCCGGGGCCGAGACGTGCGCTCAGGTCCGACTGGGGATGGGGCCGCAGGACGAAGATCGTCCGATCTCGAGGAGGGGAAATAAAAATGCCAGACCCGAGCCTGGCTTGGCAGACGTGGTTTCAGAGCCACCGTAACTTCTCTGAGACACCAGGGCCAGGATGCGCCCAAGCAGTCTAGAGCGGGGACCTTGGCCCCCTGTTTAGCTTGGAGGGACCTGGCAGGCCCTCCTGAAATCTGCGGCTTAACCAGCCCATTTCCAAAATCTAAAAATACAGGACTTTGGCAGAACGCCCCAGCATGGAGCTGGCACTTCCTAGCTGGTCCCCTGTGGGGCACAACCCCAAGGGGAAATCATGCTCCTACCTCTCTGGTGGCTTCAGAGCGCTTGGGCAGCGGAAACAGCACATTCGTGGACCAACCAGGGACTCCTGTCCCAAGAACCATGGACAGAACCCAGAGGTGGTGTCCCTGCCTGGGGAAACTCACGTCTCTCTGTTCCAGACCGTGGAGCTGAAATGCCCACATATCTCAGTTACGCAGGCAGACAGCGAGTCTGGAGCCTCTAGTATGAAGGGTTGTATTATGTCCTTCTCCACTATAAAAATTACAGATATTTCTATGATACAGCAGTTGTTACAGATTTTTTTTACGGTGTCCTTTATGCTCACCATTACTTTGAAATTATGTAAGTATTGAATCTGCTTCTACATTTTCTCTCCAGTGCTTTTATAAAGAAGTTAATATTTAACTCTATCACAACTGTGTTACAATTTTATTACTGTCTTTTGATATAATTGGTTTTCTTTGTAAATCATGTATGTGCAAATATATATATATATATATATATATATATATTGCTTTATGTATTTAGTATTTTTCTGAGAGTGTTTTCCAGATCGCCAGGGGCTCCAGGGCACAAAAAGTTTAAGAACCAGCAACTCTGGTCCCTCAATAATATCGGGGGGTTGGGGGGGGCGTGGTGTTGGTGGGGGGGGTGTAGTTCTGCAGGAGCTTCGTGCTGTTAATAGTACCAATTTAAATGACGGAGCGAGACACCTAACATTGCATTTTGAAGGCTGTGTCCCCAGAACATAAAATCTGTCCCTTTTATCTGCAGGACTGAAAAGATCACACCAAAGCTTCCTGCCTGCTCCCCTACCATTGGAGAGACTCTAAAACACATCAGCTCCCTAAGGCATTTGTGTGTGTGTGTTCATGGAAGACTCTAGATCACAGTGATGCCCTATGAAAAGATGCAACCGAGGGGGGAGGTTCAAAGCATGAAAGAGGAAGATTAAAAGGAGCTGAGCACACATCCCTAAGGCAGCCACAGGAGCTGGCTGGAGCTCAGTGAGAGGGATGGGGCTCCTTGTTAGCCGACTCTTCTTTACTGTGGCAGAAGGAGAGATGGAGCAGCTGCCAGCAGGTTGCCTGCCCGTGTGCTGTCGCGAAGATGAGGGATTCCCATCTGAAGGCATCTATTTTCTCTGAGAAGTAGGAGGCAAGATCATCTACTCAGAGCCTGGGAATGGGGGAGACAGAATAAAATAATAATAAATAACATGCAGCTCTCACTCTACATCTACAGTTGACAAGAGTTTTCAGTCTTTTCTTACAACAACCCTGGAAGGGGACTTGCTCAAGACATGGCAGCGCTAGAAGCTAATTAACTTTCTCCCCCCAGATGATCCAGGTGGAAAGAGAAGGAGCCAGAACTTACACTCAAATGGAAATTTCTTTCTGGATCCTGTAGGAAAGAACATCTTTATGTGTATGTTTGTATATTTAAATAATCTGAGTTACTTGGTTTTGGAAATTTTATTTGATACACAGTTTCTCACTCTTTAATTAAGCTCAAGAGTGGGCTAAGTCTATCTGCATTTCTAAATTTTGAAATGGAAAAGCTGGGCTCTGCCATCGGGGAACAGGGAGCCCTTGCTGCAGATTGTTGGTGTAGGTCGAGGTACGGAGGGCAGGAGCCTCTCAGTTCCTTCTTGTCAAAGTCCTTGTATTGAGCAGAGTCACTCTCAGGCTGCCCCCAAGTTTAATCAGCTTTGAGACAGCTCTTCGTGGCTCACACTTTGCTGAAGCCACGGGAAGGGACAGGCTGACTCTGGAGAACCTTGGAAAAGGGGGCTGGTGTTGACTGTAAGGTGTAGCATGGGGTGGGCTGGGAGTTGGGATCTGAGAAGGGGCAGCAATCGGATCATCGCCTCATTACTCAGTGAAAGGGGCTGGGGCTGGTTTGTTGGTGAGTGCACAGACTCACAGCTATGGGTGGGTCAGGTGTTGGTACTGTGTCTGTTGTACTTCCACAGGGGAGGTCGTGCCCACCTGCTTCTGTCCTGCTGGTCGCCGGAGTCCTCTTCCCAAGTCAGCGGGATCCCAGAGGAATCAGCAATTGCGATTCCTGGACATTGCGCTGGGGCAGGGCAATTCCTGGGCAGAGCAAATTTGCTGAGGAAGGACAGTTCAGGGCTGAAGCTAGTTCTATAGAATGCCAAGTTCCATTGCTGAAGTTTAAGGTTTTGGTGTGGGTGGTGAGGACAAAAAGACCTCATGGGATCCATTTCTGATGTGTTGGACATGGAAGGAGACAGAACCTTTCAGTCCAGCCTCAGTCACTACGTGGCTCATTTGACTTTCAAGCAAGGAAGTTTGAAAACTTTGCAGAAAGATTAAGGCTCTAAGTCTAGCTCAGTCCAAGGCTGGGAGGCTTGGGCACTGGGTACGAGTCCTCCCTCCCAGCGGCAGACCCCAGAGACACCCCCTTGTGTGGGGCCAAAACCTGTGTGGACAGGTCAGCATGGCCAGCAGGGACGTGTAGGTCCTGATCAGCAGAAGAGAGGGCCTCGCCCACGTGTCCCTGGCGACCCCACTAGTCTGCCCGAGAGAACCAGGGGAATGCATTCATTAGAAGCAGGTCCAGGGGAAAGCCTGGTGGAGAATCACTTCAGATGTGAATATTCCAGCCACCCCTGTGGGCAAGAATGGCCACGCCAGGACCTCTCCCATATACCTCTCAGAGAAGGGGAGCGTTTGGCCCAGAGGGCCTGGGACAGTGCCAATACTTTCCTGCTGTCTCCTCATTAGGCCCCAAAATACACTCAGTTAGGGCTGGTGCACCAGCATCACACCCAGGTCGCAGGCAGCTTCAGAGCAGGCAGGATACCAGGGCTAGTGAAGCAGAGCCTAGAGTCTGGGCAACAAGGAGGCAGAGGCCAGGTAAGCAATACCGGAGTTCCTCAGTGCAGAGCCCGAACCAGAACCAGATGGGATCTTCAGAGATCCCAGCGGGTTGCAAGCACTCCACCCTCACACATCCCAAGCCCTAACAGAGACTGGATATAAAGGTGACCCCTAGGGCCTCCCCTGGTGGCGCAGTGGTTGAGCGCTGGGCTGCGAAGCTGCCCGCAGCCTCTGGGGCACTGGTTCGATAGGGTCCCACATGGTGTGACAGTCCTCTCCTGCTGCGCCCGCTGTCCCCTCGGCAGTGTATTCCGTCAGTCTGCCTGTTCTGTTCCCCGCTCTGGGTCTGGTGAATTCTCTCACCCTCCCGCGCTTCTGACTGTACCCAGTGCTTGTAGAAATAAATAAATAAATCTTTAAAAAAATATTAAAAAATGAAGGTGACCCCTACTTCCAACCCCCTGACCCTACCTACCAATGTAGGCTCCTCCCTCCTGGAGGACTGGTGAGAAACTGGAATCGGAGACTGGTTCTGAGCATCACAGGAAGTGTCTGGCTACAACTTATGAACTCATAGGGGCTGCCAATGTCATAGCATGCCTCTGGAGACCTCTTATCTCTCCTTGGGAACCCCTTGGGCCCCAGTATTGTGCCCAATCCTCCAGGAGAGATATTGACCGGCTGTTTACCAGGCATCCTCCTAGTGTGCCTCTGAATCACAGCATGATGGTTGACGCTCTAATGCTGACTGCCAGGTAAGAGCTGACAGCCCACCTCTGGGATTCCTGAATATCCCCCCCATCATGAGTTCCCCAGCCCTCTGGCTTCCCCCAGTCTCAATTTGGATTCCTTTTGCAAATGCTTTCTCGGACAAGGAATTGTTTTTGCTGCCAAGTAGAACTAACTTTCCTGCTGATCTGATGTGTTTGATACATGATAATGTGTGAAGGGCAGGTGTAGCTTCAGACTGAGCCCTCCCCAACGTGCCACCTTCTGTTTTAAACACGTTGAACAAGTCAAGAGGCATTTTCCTAATAGTGCAAGAGCAGCGGCATCCAGGGCATTAAGGACAGATCTCTCAACCTAAGTGAGACCTAAGAAGTCAAGTTTGATTTGTGCTTTAC